CTCCAGATCTTGTTGGACACCAACTCCCATCAGCCCCGGCAAGCATGGCCAATGGTCAGAGATGATAGGGAATTGTGGGGTGGGAGCCACAGTTTCTCCCCACCCCCCTGGATTAGATAATCTTATGCTTCTAAGCATAAGACATCACCTTGCCAGCAAAGGTCCGTATAGAAAAAGCTATGGTTTTCCCAGTAGTGATGTATGGAAGTGAAAGCTGGACCATAAAGAAGGCTGATTGCCGAAGAATTGATGCTTTTGAATTATGGTGCTGGAGGAGACTCTTGAGAGTCCCATGGACTGCAAGAAGATCAAACCTATCCATTCTTAAGGAAATCAGCCCTGAGTGCTCACTGGAAGGACAGATCCTGAAGCTGAGACTCCAATACTTTGGCCACCTCATGAGAAGAGAAGACTCCCTGGAAAAGACCCTGATATTGGGAAAGATGGAGGGCACAAGGAGAAGGGGACAACAGAGGACGAGATGGTTGGATAGTGTTCTTGAAGCTACCAGCATGAGTTTGACCAAACTGCAGGAGGCAGTGGAAGACAGGAGTGCCTGGCGTGCTCTGGTCCATGGGGTCATGAAGAGTTGGACACGACTAAACGACTAAACAACAATATGCTTCTAAGGCCGTACTCTGTCATGCCACATATTCTACATCTTTCAGGTTAGGGAAAGTACAAACAGTTCTCACATCTGCCGCACTTGAAAAGAACAATGTGTGCAACTTGGCCTCCGGTTGGATTAGCCCAAAGTAAACAACCTTTGTGATGTGGTCCAGAGACCACTTAAGGCTCATAAACTGCCTCTGCCTCACTGATGTCTGCAGAAGCGAAAAACACTGAAGCCCGGCTGTACCACCTTCATTGGCTTGCAGATCACTGCCTAGAAGCTCCCAAATCACACAAATCTATCCCAAATGCCTCTGAGTCCATTTCGCATTCCTCTTGCCTTGGTTTTACTGCAGAAAATATTTATATCGGGCATAAAAAATAGTGAAGCGGTAGCGATAAGGGGGCGGGTGGGGGGGGGAGCAGCTATTAAACATAGAAGCACAGCATCCTTCAGTTTCCTGCATGAGTAATTTTATGTTTCATAAGCGGGTTCTCCTCCAAGGAGGAGGAGGAGGAGGAGGAGGAAAAGAGGATGACAGAAACATGAGATTGCACCAGGCTACAGAAGAACGTCCTGGTAGACAGCGCTGGGTGCAAAAATAAGGGCTTGGTCCAAGCTACTGACAATTTTTCACAAAGCTTGTTTGTTTGTATAATTAGCCAAAGGCCTGGAAGAATAATGGAATCATAGAATTGTAGAGTTGGAAGGGACCCTGAGGGGCTTCTAGTTCAACCTCCTGCAATGCAGGAATCTCAAGGAAATGTGTTTGCTTGGTGACTAAAGATATCAAGGTGCCAAGTGAGCTTCCATGGGGAGGGCACGCCACCAATGGGGAGCCACTGCAGAAAAGGCCCGTTCTTTTGCCGGACCCTCTGGGCTGCTCGTGGAGGAGGCACATGAAGGGGAGCCTCTGGTGATGATTGCAGGGTCTGTATAGGTTCATATTGGAGAACTACAATTCCCATCACCTACAGTAAGCATGGCCAATAGCCAAGAATGACGGGAGGTGTGTTTCAACAACATCTGGAAGACCAAAGCTTCCACACACCTGTTCTACTTCGATACAGCCCAATACGAATACGCTTAAGACTATCTTGCAAATATTTCATCACTTACCTTTTTTGCAACGCTTTCCCAAGTAGGAGCTTAGTATGCCTTTGTCCTCCACCGACATCTCTTCCACTCAGTTGGGGTTCGTGTCTCTTTTTGCTTCCAGTGCATTTGGAAACCCATTTGCCACTTCTATCATGGGACACCATTTGCAGCACTCCCTGTGTGGAGTGCGCAAGTGTTGAAGTGCGAGAAATATGATAGTTATTTATATATTTCAAGAAGACCCGTGACATCAATGCATGTTGCTGTTGTTGTACATGTGGCTCTATCCACTGTTGTCCCTCCCCATCCCAAGGCAACCAGATATATTTTCTGGGTGCATATCACACATGCACAGACACTGTGCAAGGCGAAGGACTCTTGCTGCCCATTTGGAGATTTCTGTGCTTTTGATTTATTGTGCCAATTGCTTAGGAGATGTTGTCTCCTCTCTGGCCAGAGTGAATACTGACAGCTTAATTTATCACACATGCTGTTTGGTAGTCCAGTGCTTTATATAAGCTGCTAAGCAAAGATCTGGCCAGTTTAACAAACTGATTACTAATAAACCTTTCGCCTCATCCAGCACATTGATAACTAATTTTTCTTTGATAAGAACTGGAGACACAAAGTCAAGAATACTCCTAATTGAAGAACTGCCCTAGGTTTTGTCTAAATGGAATTGGCCCTATAAGAGGATGTTGAAAACAGAATTGATCTATTATTGCTATTGGTGACTGCCATACATTGCAACAAAAGGACAGCAATGGGATCAGTCGAAACTAAGTGTAGCTTCTCTATTAGAAATTAATTAGCATGGTATATTTGGACTTTATCCAGGGAGATTTAGCTCAATGCATGGCTGGGTATTCAGTGCATTTAAAAACAGAACCACCTTGTTTTAAAATAAATAAATAGCTGCTGTTGAAGTATTGCAAGAAGATTGGATCTGGGAGATGGTTAAAGGAGCCACAAGTAGACCTCACTGAACTCATCATCACGTCCTGTTCCTCCAGGAACTTATCCCCATGCTGTCAATATGTTTGCATGATGAGCCCTCCGTGGATCTGACGGGCAAGCTACCATACTATATTATTGATATTATTGATATTACTTGCATTAAAAACAATTAAGAACCAACAAAAACCCTGAAAACACAGCTATACAATTAAAAGGCAGGACTAACAAATCCCGCCCCATTAAAAGAGGCCAAAATGCCACCCTTTGAACGAAAGGCCAAGAGGCTGGGGAAAGAGGAAAGTCTTTGACTGGTGCTTAAACATAAAGAGGGCAGTGGACACATCTGACCCTTGAGATCACTAGCCAATCCCACCACGGGAAGTTACAAAATTACTAAATCAACAGGTAAAATGCATGCAAAAATTAAGAGTTATATCACACATTTCTGGATAGAATCTACCAGTTTTCTTGGGCTAGTGATCCCCCCCCCAAATACCCCAACTTTTTGAAAATATTATGCCACTTGGGTTTTGCCACTTGGGTACCAAATTGTCTTGGGCAACCCTGATGGAAGACGCAGCCCAACAACCCCGGGCATCCCTCCCCAGTCAATATTTGCATAAGTTTTTGAATTTTTTTGAGGCAGGGGTTGGATGGCTGCACCTGCTCTGTGTAGGGTTTGGGGGTGGATAGATGGATGGAGAAAGGACAGCTCTTCACATGCCTAGAAAAGCTTCAAGAAAAAGCACATGTGAGTTGATCTGCGTGTGCTTGTAGCGTGCAAAAGAAGGACAACGAGCATTTTCTCAAGATGAACAAGCTGATCTTATTTTAGTAGCTCCACTTTTCACATTTACCCAGGTTTTTTTAAAAGCACTCCAATGATTTCTTTGGGGGCTTCCAATAAAGACCTAATACTATTTCTGCAGCAGGGTCCCTGTCTCCAGGGTACGAGAGCCACCCAATAAGCATGGAAGGGCAGCTTTTTAGCCACTGCGCGTCCCAAAGCTAAGCATTTAGGAACACTGAAAACGGAACGTGCTTCAGTTCCAAGAGAACTGAAGTTCTGTTATATACCATGGAAATTGGAGGAAAACACTCCTGAAGCGACTCCGAAAGAATATATTGCAGCACTCCAAATCACTTGCCCACATACGTGCACAGAAAAAAGAGTACATCTAGCAAAAAGGCAACGAACAGAGATCCGCATCCATCATTGCAGCGCATCCCTAATTATTATCTAATTATAGTATTAGCGTCTAATATTAGCAGGGTTGTGGCTATCATTAAGGGACCCTGCACTCCTGAATTTGCACATTATCAGGATTATCAAAAAGGATAGGGCTGACCACAGCTCAGAAGCTCCTTACCACCCAAAATCACGCCAAGTACGATGACTTAGTCATTTCTCAAATGCCAGTGCTGTGGAGGTGGTGTTCCTTGAATACCAGGCTCTGAAAGCTCAGTTATTTTAGGATAAAGCTTTGTTGTCTCATCATCGGGATGAGGCAGCCAGCCACCCGTAGCTTCCCAGACAAGTCGTACGCTGCCTAAAGCCTGAGAGATGCTGCAAGCCATATGGTCCTTGGGAAAGCTCATGGCTGTTGGATCTGGGTTAACTCCTTCCATGCAAAGACATTGCCCTTCACAGTCCAGTTGATAACCTGGCAATCTTTGCGTGGCCAGCTGGTGCAAGGCTGTGTGGCAGGTGTCTGCACCACAGGTGATAATTGAGAGCCAATATATATGCATATGCACAAGAGCCCTGACATGTAATATAGCAAAACACATTCCCTGAAAATCAAAGCAGCAGAAGCTCTAGGGTCTACAAGCAGCTATTTGGCGCATGCCTATTAACATGTAGATAATGAACATAATCTTCAAGAGGCCTCTTTTGCCTATATTTAATGACAAGGGCCCACCAAACCTCATGAATCACTCACCCCTGTCCCGTCAGATACTGAGAACACCCACCTTCCACCTGGCCCTTATATCCAGAAAGCAAAGCAAGTGAGCATTATTTTAAGGCTTCCATATACTGTAAATTCCACCCTGCTCTAAGAATTGAAAACAGATAATGCGACAACAGCCCAACACATGCACCTTAAGATTCTAGTCTGTTTTATCTCCATCCCTTTCTGTATAACAAGGCTGGAGTGAGCCTTTTTTAAAAAAAAAAAAAATCCCCCAAGCTCAGGTAGGTAGCTGTGTTGGTCTGATGTAGTCGAAATAAATTAAAAAATTGTCCAGTAGCACCTTAGAGACCAACTAAGTTTATTCTGAAGACAGGAGTGCCTGGCATGCTCTGGTCCATGGGGTCACGAAGAGTCGGAAACGACTAAACAACAACAAAGCTTTTGTGTGCCAGCACACTTCTTCAGATACACTGTGTATCTGAAGAAGTGTGCATGCACACAAAAGCTTATACCCAGAACAAACTTAGTTGGTCTCCAAGGTGCTACTGGGCATTTTTTAATTTATTTTATTTATTCCCCAAGCTCAGCTGGTTAGAGCGGGGTGCTGATTAACACCAAGGTTGCAGGTTCGATCCCTGTATGGGACAGCTGTATAGTCCTGCATAGCAGGGGATTGGCCTAGATGAACCTTAGGGTCCCTTCTGACTCTACAATTCTGTGATATAAAATCACACAATACCTACCTGGATATTGAACCTGAGGCCTTCTGCATGCAAAGCTGATGCTCTGGCCCATCACTCTCCCTTCCCCATGTTTCATTTCAGCTGGGCCTGAGCATTAAAGGGTTAAGCCGGGGATAGACTCCTACATGTGGAGGGCCACAGGTTTCCTAACCTCCATTAGCCCTGCCCCATGAGCCATATTGGCTGCGGCTGATGGAAGCTGCGAGTCCAAGAACATCAAAAGAGCATGCATCAGGTTCTCCATAGACCAAACGTTCATCATTTCACTACACTTGTACCTTCCCTTTGCTAACCTGGCCCACTGATGTCCACTACTCCACTCATTGTGTTAAGGCTTCAGGATCTCCACCCCACAAGCACCCCTACACAGCCTTTTAAACTGCACCCTCACCCCATCCAGAAGGGTGCTTTGTTTTTGCTGCCGCTTGGCTTGCTGTTCTCACAGGGCTGCAGAAATTAAAGCAGCGAAGCGAGCCAGTATAATAATTTCTCCCCGTGTTCCCGTTTGATCTCTTTGGGGTATTATTGAGCATTTTACATAATAATCCTATTAATAGAAGTGATAGGCAGCTTAACGCAGTGTGAGGTCACCCACACTAGAAGAGTGAGACTGGTATTAGTTAATCACCAGAAGAGAGAAAATGAGGACTTTGATCAGAGAAAGAGATTTGCCACACTCTAAAAGCTCCTACCTGATCAAGCCAGGAATATTTCATAGGAGGGGAGCCAAGAGAAACAGAATATAAGCTATTGTGAGAGATTCAGAGCAAGTTGCCGTTGTAACAGTGATGGCAGCCAAGCCAGATTGATTCTGTGTGTGAAGTTGACAGAGCAGTCAAGAGTTGGAAGGAACTTCAAAGGTCCTTTTCATAAGCATTGGATATGAGGCAGACTTTAGTATCTTCAGAATCTTTGTATTTTCCACCCCTATATTTTTTTAAACCCACAAAGTTTCTAGTCCTTAGGGAGTTTTTTTTATACCAACTTGGTGGGGAGCAGGGAGGGAATAGACTGCAAGTCTTGAAAACCGAGAAGCTCAGAAACTGAATACCTGCCAGAGTAAGCTCAGTTGGTTAGACCATGGAGCTGATTAACTCCAAGGTTGCAGATTTGATCCCCGCATTGGCCATTCCTGCATTGCAGGGGGTTGGACTAGATGATCCTCAGGGTCCCTTCCAAATCTATGATTCTGTGATAAGCCAGAAGAGGATGTAGCTGCAGTGGCCATAAAGATGTGTGTTTCATTCACATCTCTTAACTGGGCTTCTTAGAACAGAATGTGAACATTCAAGTTTTGCTAAAATTGGCAAATACTACTGATATGATATCTAAGAACCTGTCAGAGGCCTCGTGCCTTATTTCCCAAAGCCCAGTGTCTCACTTACATGGCTTTGGAAATGCAGCATGAGGGCTGGGGGCTGGGAGTCAAGTTTTGGTCTTGCTTCCCCTTGCAACTAGGCAGTGTGCGGCTCACAGATTCCGTGTCAAAGTACTCTTACAGCTCACTTGGTATGAAAAGTTGGGACGCCCTGTCCTAGAGGATCTGCCCACCCTCCATCCCTTTCTACTTGTATGCGTTAAGTTATTGAAATAAAAAGAAAAGCTCTGAGCTGAGAATTGGTGGAAGCTGCGTCCAAGCTGCTGCGCTAAGTTTTCAGGAAGAATTGTCAGAAAAGTGGATTTCCTAAAGCCCTGGATTCCTCTCCTGCTGAATCTTTCTCCTTCGACATTTTCCATTCCTCATCATCCAGCCATTCCCTTTCAATCTCCTTACATGAAGACAGGGAACAGCTAGCAAGCAAAGCTGCACCAATATATATTGCCAATGGCCTGGTTCACACATTATGCTAAGCCATGGTTTGACCATGAGTTGCCCCACAGACGAAAAAAACAAACCATGGCTTGTTTCTGCATTATTTAGCTTGTTTTCTAACTGCTCTTACCTACTGCCTTTGTAGCTTGGTAAGCATTAGGGGTGCAGTGGCCAAAAAAACACACACTTAAGGAAGGATGCTGTGTTCACATGCAATACCAGCCGTACTTAAAGCAAACAAAGTTTTGTAAAACAAGATACCATGGTTTCAGACAATGTTAAACAGATCAATAGCTAAGTAGCTGGGCAGGGTTTAATAAAGTATGACTTAGTGTTGTTTTTTATCTGGGCCAACAAAGGCAGCCCAAAGATGGCATATACTCTGGGAACTCATCTGACGTAAGGCTTCCTCTTTTGCACAAGAAGAAAGTTAACAATGCAGAGTTTCACAACACCTAATTCCCATGAAACTGGATTTGTCCAAATTATGCCACACAGACTTCAGTTTTACATCAAACTTTCCGGACGCCTCTATTCCTCATTTGACCAAGATTTGACTGCTAGTATTTCTGGGTGTTTGTAAATGTGTGCACTTGTAGGGGTAATTTCTACCCAACTGACACCCAGCTAGGAAAGACCCACCTGATCAGCCCCTCCCACCAGGTTACCGCAGCAGGACTTAGCACTTAGGCACAGGGAGTTGAACTGCAGCCAAGTGGTTCCCAAATAGAAGAGGCAGTTAGAGACAGACCACATTAGCCTTCTTGCTCCTTCGCTTGACCCAATGCTCAGTTTTCACCATATTAACCATAGTCTAGAGTAGCTTTCATTTTTGCTTTCCTTTGAAAGCTTATGTCAAAATACCTAAATTTGTGTCATTCAAATATCGTTGCCAGCATTTTAAATGAATTAGGGTCCACTAAAGAGCATAACTACTCAGATCTAGTAAGAGGGCGTTCTCACTTGCTCTTTCACTCTCACACAAATATTTATTCAACTGGTCACACAATGCGGCGCTGCCTTTAAGCATTATTCACAAAGCAAACACTGAATTCCTCTGATAGCTCTGAAGAGTGAAAAAGAATCAAAAGGAGTCAGGTGGTAATACTCGAATACCTTTTATTCCCCCCCTCCTGTAAAATGGCTTGTACTTCCAAAACGTACAACAGTTAAATTGTGTTAATATCCATTCACATTGATGTATATAAAAGGCCAGCTTTCACAAACATAACTCAGAACGTTCAACAGCTGGTAACACTTTTGAAGTAAACATTGCCATTACCCCCATTCCCAGTGGGCTCATGGGAATGAGATGCAGTTCTGAAATTTGGGCTTGGGTTTTTGTTTTGTTTTTAAGAAATGTATTTAGAGCATAGCAAAAATATACTTTTACTTGTTGGATCATGCTACAATTTTATCCAGGTGCCGAGTTCACAAGGAGAATGTCAAAAATGTGTGCCTTGAAATGCGTTTGCAGAGGGCTTGCTGCTGAAATCTCTCTCAGATACATGGCAAACTACCATAGGAGTCTCAGGAAAATCCATAGCTCATTGGCAAAGGCATGGCTTTGCAGGCAAACAATCTCAGATTCCATCGCTGGCACCTTCGTTGAAAGAACCTTGAAGATCAGGCTGGGCAGGGGGCATCAGAGGGAAAAGCCACTGCTTGTTCAAGACAGTACTCAGCAGGTATCTGGAAACTTACATCAGAGCCTGTGTGCTATGGTCTGAAACAAGACTGAAATGGTATTGCCATTGTTGGGGAAGAGATGTGGCAAAATAAAATAAAATAAATGCTTTTCACAACTTCTGGGTGACCATCTCACCCCTCAGTCACCTCCTGTTTATGGCTCAGAGCAGATCAAGTACTTTGATCGCTTTTCTTTCTCTGAAATAGGCTTTTCTGACAAAGTTAAACACCACCACCATTCTGATCAAGAAACAGCACAGGTTGGCTAGGTTAAAATCCCAAATCACTCAGATTCCACAACTACCCACTGCTCTGCTTTGCTCTTCCTTCCAGATTGCCCTTCAAACAATTATCACGTGCATCTTCTGCGCCAGCAAGATCAACAGCTATCAAAAACTAGAAAGTGCTCTAAACAACACAAAGTCTTGGGCAAATTAAATACCAGTTAATTTATCGCGGCATAAGCTTTCATGGGCTCATCAAGCCTGACAAAGTGTGTTTGAGTCTCTGAAAGCTGATGCCGCAATAAATTTGATATTCTTTAAGGTGCCACAAGACTCCTTGCTTGCTTTGCTGCAAAGCAACCACCTCTCTCAAAACAATGAATGCTCTTTTTTCCCCCCAAGCAAGCTTCTCAGTGAAGCCAAGGAGAAATTTGCATAAGCAACTTGGGATCGATAGGGATTTTTGTTTTTTGTTTTGCTTATTTTAAAGGGAAATGGTTTGCTGATCTCTGCAAGGGAAAGTTACATTTCAAGAACAATTTAGGACTGTTCACTGAATTTTTAAGGGACCAAAGTTGCTGCTGGGCTCAAATTATTTTCCAGAGTTGTCTGGATCATGGGGTTGATATGACTGGTTAAGGCACGCCCATTTAAAATCAAATTTGGGGCAAAAAGGAGAGCAGGGGCTAGAAGAGTAAGTTATTATGGATTTTCTAAATTAGGCTATTCTCTAAAAACAGGTGCACCAAAAAGGGTTATCCAGAACTGGAGAGCCAACTTCCATGGAACGTGTAGCCATCATAAATCAATCTTAGGCAATATGATAGTTCAAAATGAACTTCCTCTCTACAGACATTAACTGCTCCTGTACTTTCTACCTAGAAATAGTGAGAAAGACATACAAGCATCAGCAGGAAAAGACGTTTAGAGCCAGAAGTTGGAGTTTAGCCAAAGCTTGTTTGGAAGCAGCTAAACAAGAACAGTTCAATGGGAAAAAAACCAGATTTCATATTGTTATGATGCTTTTGGAGACAGATGCACACAACATAGGTAAAACTATCGTTTACTAAACCAGTCAGATGTCTTACAACATGGAGGTATGAAAGCTTTCAATGGCAAAAAATTGTGAAGTCTACCTATGCCCTACACGTCAGCAGTATCACTTGCTCGTGTTAGCCACAATGAGACTTTGTTCAACAAAATCTGGATTGTTTCAGAGAGAACTTAACTCCTCTGACTTCAGTGTTTCTCGTGCTAATCAGCATTGGAGCATGGGTCCAGATTCAATGTGCTCTCAAACACTGACAATCATGGCAGCACAACAGCGATCTCATACACTAGTTTTGCCATTCACGGTAAAGTCTGGGATAATCTAAACTTCAACTAGGAAGTATAGGAACTACGGGAAGAGCGAAAAGCAATGCAATTTGGACAACTCTTTGGATATACAGAACACCGGAAAACTTTATGGAAATGAGCATGACAGAGAAGTCAGTGCTTCAGAGCTACTGAACACAGCCTGAGCATTATGGAAACCTGGGAAATCTTCCAACTGTTCCAACATCATTCTCTTTCTCACAAAAATGCAATGAAAACAGGGGTGAATCCAACACTTTTGACATTAATGTTACAGTAAATCAGTTCTTCTTGTTTCTCAAAGCGGCCCACTAGCAATCCACCCACTAGGTGCACCTGTCACCGTGCGGAACCTAGGTCACAAAAATGGATTCAGAATCACAGGTTGGACTGTCCAATGGATCCTTCTTGAAAGAGTCTGGAGTAGCTTCAATGTAATCCACAACTGAAGTGGGAACAATCTCTAGGTATACATTCACACATGGAAGGAAACCTAATTGTGGGAATATTCTACACCTGAGCAGGGCCTGAGTCATCACTACTGTGTTTGTCTGCCCTTGAAGTTGGCAAGCAAGGCAGATTTCAAAACTCTGATTTTATGATATTTTGCCAGTCGGCAAAAGGCCTCTTGATAACAGAGCCTGGGGAGCAGCAGACAGAATAAAGGAGGGGTCTGAGGCACCTATGATAAAAGATCAGGATGGGGTTACAAACCGTGACACAAAAACAGGGTTATCGTCAGAATTTGAGCTACACATTTGTCTTGAGGAATATCAAAGGTGAGGAGCACTCATTTTAAAAAGGCACTAGGACAAAGTGTTTATAAAACAATTGGCCCTATTTCCCAACCTACTGAGTGGGGCAGGCAAGCTACGGAGTATGGCATTTGACAGAAAATGCAGCAGAGTGAGTGAAATCTTTCCAAACAAAAGAAATTGGTGCATCAACTTAAAATGCTGAACTTTTTTTATACAGCAAAATTGTATTAAACAGCAGCAGATAAAAACAACATGCCCCATCACCCAGTGGGCAATGAACATCTGAAAATGTTTAAAAGGTTAACTATAAAACAATATTACATCCAAAATATGAACAGGCCAGTTCAAGTATATACACAATATATTAAAATCATATAAATTATATATTTATACAAAGGGCACACACATAGCAAGGGGTTGCTGTGAATTTAACAAAATGGAGATCCAAACTGCCAGAATCACTTCAGATGTGCAATTAATTTTTCCCTGTGGGTTCTTTTTTCATGTCAACATTGAAGAACGAATACCTCTGATACCACAAATACGGTGGTGGGGGGGGGGATGGAGAAGCATAAAAATACCCCAAGCAGATGAAAACGCGAATATGGTAAGGGCATTATAGTACATGAAATCCCAGTCAGTTCACAATGAGCACTGAGTTGCCTCCTTTCCCACAACTCCACCCACCCACTTCAAACCAGGAATTTCAAACCACATAGGGGATGAATTAATTCTGGGTATTTAATAGTAACATTTGGTGTGTCTCTGAATCTCAAAATAAAGAAAAGGGGGGTGGGGAGGACAGATGGCAAACTGAAAAGTTAATAAACTGTGTTAAACTATTGCAGGATGTTTGCACATTGGACAGCATCATAGAAGGAAGCTCAGCAAAACAGCTTATTTTTAATTACTGATTTCAAAATAGCTACCAAATATTTAACCATCTGTAGGAGGATTCTTGGTGACTCGCATGTTTAAGACTCAAAGAGTATCCCAAAACCAGCCATCACATCATGGCCAACGTGTCTTACGTTTTGCAAGAGAGCAGATTGAAACCTTCTTGCTGATGTAGCAAAGCAGCCACTTAAATAACTAGATTTATAACAAGTCAGTTTGCTCACAGGGCCAAGACATGCAAGGGGAAACTATATCAAGTGGCAATAAAGCCAAAAAAGGCAGAATTAGAAACGGACAGAAAACTGTGAACATGGCGAATGTAACTGCATATATGTAAAAAGTAACACAAATTGCATCAGATGCAAAGCTGAAAAGGGCTGATAGCATATTGTGCCTTACCACCCCTGGGTTTTCATGAAAGCTGTTTTCATGTTATCACAAATCCCCGTGTTCCCACATTGGTGATGGAGCCAGTTTTCATTGGCTTCAACCCCTGGTGCTGTAGCAACACCAGAAAATGATGGAGCCATATAGGCAAGACCAGCCTTGGTGGGAAAGGCATGCACAACACGGCACAGCCATATAACAAAGTCATTCAAACACACAGTAAGGGCACAGGATGAAGTCACAGAAAAGTGGCTCTTGCAACACTATGACAATGTATGAAGGGGCTCAAGGTTGGTCACAAATTAGCTTAATGTTGGTGCGAAATCTATAAAATGCAGGGCAGGATGGTAGTACAGTGGCTGTCAGAGAGTTGCGCTGCCCCAGGAAAGTCAGAAGCAAACTAATCTTTTTGCACATAAAAAAACGTGACCTAACACATCTGTTGGACCAGATAACCCGTATCTTAAATCTTCCCACATTATGTTTCACGCGTAATGCTAAATACAGGAAGAACATGCAAGGGTAACTTCTGTGTCAAAAAGACATTAATATGTGAAGTGACAGCGATCTCCAAATTTCAAGTAATTTTGAGTGTTTTTTCTTTCTTTTTGGACAGCTGCATTAACACCACACTGCAGAATTCCATAATATTTTTGTGCTATTGTTTATGAAGCCAACCTTTCGTGTTCACGGCTTGTTTAATGCATGTATCTAGTGAACATTCACCCAGGTTTGCTCACACATTCAGTACATCCTCTTTGAGAATGAACTATTCAAGTTAATTATATTGCAAATTAAAAAGAGAGAGAGAGAGAGAGAGAGAAAAGGACAGACAAATTACATTCTGTATGCTCCTTTTAGCTTGAAAAAATATGTGTCTTAAAGGCTTGTCAAAGTTTAGAAGAAAAGCATTTCTGTTAAAAAATCCAAGATTAAAAAATCATTAAGACATTGGTATCTTTTTTTTCTTCTTCTTCTGATCAAGGGTACTAAGAAAAAAATATTACAAATATACTACAATTTTACCAAGAAGATGTCATCATGAACATGCTTCTTTTGAGCATGCAATGCCACTGATATCTGTTTGGTTCCAGGTATCAGTGTATCACCACACTCCACATTACTCCCAGCTGGTTTCTCCCCCCAACCCGCCCCCGAAAAGCCCTCATTAATAACAATCCTATAAAAAGGTAAAATCTAGAGTTAGTGGCAAATTCTTTTATCTTCACAGTAAATTGTTAACCATGTGAGCTTTGTCGTGGTCATCTGTAAAATGGTGTCGTCAGTCAATTGGACCCTGAAAAATAAGTTTGACACAGTTCTGATCTCCGGACAGCTGGGTAGCGCAGAAAGGGCAGGCAGCATGGAACGCATGAGTACCATGTGGCAGTGGGATCTGGGACCAGTATTTGGCAGACTTCTCGGAGCACACATGCCCACAAGGGGTGAAAGCATACGTTGGCGGACCAGCATCAACATAAAAGCCTGCCTCGCACCCGAGCCAGAGAGGCACATAGGGACCAACGGTTCTGCACATAGGACACTCACGCTCGTTGGCTTCTGTGTCGCTACGGTGCCCCCAGTTGTGATAGCCATGGACGTGGCCACAGCTGAGGTAAGCCCAGGGCTGTTTCTCTTCCACCACTTCCTTGCGGTTGATGCTGGGAAACGCCAGCGTGTTCAGCCCCACGGGACACTGGGGTCTCGCTGCATTGATCTCTTGCCGTAGAGCCTCTATGTGTTTCTGAGTCGGTGTATGAAATAAACCATCTGCTGTTCTCCACAGGAGTGTGGCTCCACACAGATCAATGAGAGAACCATCTTGCAGGACGTTGGTTTCATTTTCCACCTAAAAGGGCAGACGGAGATGGAGAACGGTTTGACAGCTAATTCACTCTGAAGCGAAGTGACCCCACTCCACACAATGCGTTTTCCACACACACACACCCCTTTTCTGTCAGCCTCTTGTACATCCAATGTAGCGTTCAGCTTCCTTCTGTTCTCCTACATGGATTTTATGTAGAAATGTTGATGCAATAGCCCCTCCTCTACAGCAAGCTGCTACAGATTAAACAAAAAAAGCAAATCCAAATTCCTTTCTGTCCTGGTATCTCCATTTCCTCCTCAACTGTTGTTGTCTTGCTTACTGCTAAATTAGGCAAAAGTAATGGAACTTACAATGCACATGTCACTCAATGTGTCATGTAAACTGATGTTAACTGCATAAACAAGAGTAATATCTTTTGACAGATCCCGCAGGATAGCCATGATACTATGTTGTTGTGGCAAGGGTCTTGTGGCCTCTTATAAGTCTAAACACATTTACTGTAAGAAAGCCCACTTTGTCAGAGGCATGACATGGCAAGTTGGCAAGAGTACAGTGGTACCTCGGGTTAAGAATTTAATTCATTCTGGAGGTCCGTTTTTAACCTGAAACTGTTCTTAACCTGAGGTACCACTTTAGCTAATGGGGCCTCCTGCGGCCGCCGTGCCACTGCCATGCGATTTCTGTTCTCATCCTGAAGCAAAGTTCTTAACCCGAGGTACTATTTCTGGGTTAGCGGAGTCTGTAACCTGAAGCATCTGTAACCTGAGATATCACTATATATGCATGCACAGTGAGTCTGGCCACAATTGTACACACTGTGGCCAAAAAGTGCAAGAGATCACCAACAGCCATGTCTTCACACATTCAGCTTATTAGGAGACAAGGCCAGAATTACTTCAAGATTGTCACGCGCTTTGTGTTCAAAACTAAAACTCTTCTAAAACTTTTGTTCTTTTGGCACACAATTCATCAGCAACAAGTTTGGATTTAAATGAAGCAGAAAGGTCATACTGCAGACTCTCACAGTCATGGTCAGAACCATCCATCACAGAAACTGCAGGCTGAGAAGAATGTAAAGCAGCATTTTCTGCCTAGCATTCAGGAGACATTCCATTTTTGGAGCAAGATGGATTTTTTCCCTCCCTTATAAGGCCACAGGATAGGACAAAACATTAAGACACCATTCAAGTTAACCTGCAACATACCACAAGGCAACCACTGTGAGCCCAGTAAGGCACAATTCCCAGTGGTATGGAAAGACCTGGCTACCATCATGTACACTTTCGTAACATCAAGGTGAGATTACTGCAACATGCTCTATTGGGGCTGCCACTGAGGCTACAAGTAGTACAAAACATCAAGAGTCCTAGCTGGAAGCTGGTGTGAGGGCACCCAACAGAATTATTACCCCAACTTCAGTGGCTTATTAGGTACTTCTATACTTAATTGAAAATGGCAGCATTGAGCTTTAGGCCTAGGATCAGTATATTTTTACTGTAGTTTTACAGTTTGTTAGAAGCTGGCCAGAGTGGCTGGGGCAACCCAGACGGGCAGCATAATATTTATTCAATTATTATTATATCTTAAGGGCTGTTATCTCAATAATTAACTGTGCTACCACACTTTCAAGGATTGCCAGCTAGGTCTGTCTGGCCCCTTTCTCCTGGTGCTAAAACACTTTTATTTAGGAGATCTTTAGGACTAGAGGATTAGTGCTTTGTTTGCTGTATTGTTTCTGTTGCTTTATTCCTTATGCTATCTAGGTTGCAATTTTAATTATGGTTTCTTTTCATATGGAAGCCAATTTGAGTAATATGGAGAAATATGGCTAGAAAGTTTTGAAATAAAACCGCTATCATGAACTTCCCAACTGTGGGAGTCATAAAGCCACAGTAAAGGCTTGTAATATTGCAGGGTGCCCCCTGACCTCGGCTGACCAGCACTCTGAGCTTTACAATGTATTGGAATGTATTGGAGTTGTGTTTCCTCTGGACAGTGATGACCTTATATGGTTTGTGGGTGGGTTAAAGCCTTGACCGGATGAGGTAACGTGAGACATTGGCAAACGGCCATGCGGCTGGAGAGAGACAAAGGATAATAAAAAAGCTGCAGGAGGAGAGGGAAGTTCGAAAGGAGCTGCTCATACCATCCTGAAAATATTGCTGGCTCTCTGGGTCTTTATTTTATGCAAAATTGCGCCATTTGTAACGGCTGGCTCCGACACCCAACTTACTAGTTTGCCTCTTTGCTGAGCAGATCTTGTTTCACGCAGAGTATACACATCACCACAAACTGAAATTTCCCGCCAGACTCCCGGTTTTGATTCTTCAGTGAACCCTCCTTTTGGATGCATGACTAGAACGCCATTGGTTGTTAATCCATCCATGTGTCCATCGGGATTCTTCCATTTTGCTGCTTTTTCCTATACAGAAGGCCACAGGAAGAAATAAAAGATAAATTACTCAGCCTTTCCACATTCAAAACTTGTAACGGTATTCAAGGTTGCAACCACAAGTAAGCTAATAAAGGAAGGGTTGCTTCGAATTCTAAACTCAACATTTAGCACAGAACAGCAAAGTAAACATCTGCACACAATTACAACTATTACTAATAGTTTGGCTAAAAAAACAGCTTGCCTCTATATCAGAAGGGACAGAAAGAAAATCGCATTAGTGTTTAAAGTCCTAAACAGCCTAGCCCCAACTATCTGAAAAAACTGCCTCCTTCCCTACTCTCAATCAGCCTTCCATGTTCCAAGCCATGGATCTCTTCACAAGTGTACACATCATTTACATATATTGCTACTCTTCCTCCCTTCTTGTTTGATCTATTCCATCTGAGCAGGTTGTACCCTTCAATTTCTACATTCCATTCATGAGTCTCACCACAGCAGCCTACATGTGTTAAGAGCTCAAGTTCTTCTTGCTTGTTTCTCTTTTTTTAAAAAAAATAATTTTTATTAACCGGCCAATCAAATCAAATTAAATCACATCACATAAATTCCGAATTCTTCTTGCTTGTTTCTCATACTCTGTGCATTTGTGTAGAGACAACTGAAACCATGAAACACACTGCTGCTGCCTCTATAACACTCAATAAGGAGTCACCTGCCACCACCACCACACGTCTCTTCCTTCTCTGGGAAGTAGCAGGAATCGTTCTGTATGCTGTACCTTCTGCTGCCACCTTGATGTGTTCTGAGGTCTGCAACCACTGTTCTTGCTTCTCTGGCCAAGAATCAGTGTCCGAGGTGAGGGCATAGAATCAATTTTGTAGCTCCAGAGACACAGCATGCTCCTGATAGTCCTACTTTTTGTGTCATGTTCCTCCAGAGGATTGTCTCCTGAATTGGGCAATCTTCCTCCTCCCTAGGGGTACTCTGCCTACATCTCTGTTCCAGGACAGTCCACTCTAGTCTAGCAAGAATGTCCTCATGTTACCCGGTGGCTTGAAGTGTGGACAGGTGGGCCTCAAGTTGCTGGACCTCTTCTTTTAGCCTGGTAACCAAGCTTACAGATAGCAGTTCCAGCACCTCTCAAGCATATGGAAGGATGGGCCTTTCTGCAATTCCACTAGCATTCCATCACCTCCTCTATCGTCAATTTTGCCCAACTGGGCACTTGATTCCACATTGCAATGAGGAAGCAAAGGGTGAGATTAATCAATCCAACTTCCAGATTTTTCTATGGTGACATTAGCTCATGATGCAGCACATAGTCTTGCATGGAGAAGATCCCAAATTGATATTCTGGAATATCCAGTTAAAAAGATCAAGTAGCAAGTGATAGGAAAGATTTTGGACTGAGACACTGCAGAGCTGCTGCCACTCAGAGTAGACTATGCTGGGCTAGATGGAAAATAATCTGACAGTTTCCTATGTACTATGTGTTAATATTAAGAAAAAATAATCTGCAGTTGAATGCCAGCAAACAGCCATCATGTTGTGATAAGAGGGCTGGTTTATGCAACAAGTTATCATGACAGAGAGGCCTGCAGAGAAACTACATGTACTTACCCCAAGGAATATGTTTTTAGAAGAGTCAAATCCTGCTGCAAAGATTCTGGCAGTGTATGGTGTGTTCCTATCACAGACAATGCGGCAAGCAAACCTGGAGATGGTGCTTTGGGTGATCTGAGTTTCATCACCATTTTGACTGCCAGAAATTGTATCTGTTACAACAAAATCTATGGGGCTCTCTGTCGATCTGCCAACCTGAAGACATTGAAAACATATTTTAGAGAAATACCTTAGATGATACTGTTACATTATACATTGTGTCTAGAAAGGTTGTTTGCTAAAACACAATAAACTGACTGACTGACTCTTTGGAGAACTATGCAATGTGAGAGCATGTGAAACCTTAAATAAGCAAAATCTATGGGTAACTTGTACATTCAGGTAGATTCAAGTATTATCCACAAATCAACAATTAACGTAAGTAGGCATCTTGCTCTCATTCTAAAACTGTTTTAGTTACATGGGGTACCTTCAAAATTTGAATGGCTTGTAATAAAAGCAAGCCCCTCAGAAGATCCCCCCACTCCCCACAAAAATGTATAAAAGCTTATGTCTGTTTTTAGATTTATAAGATCCACTCTACAAACCAATGTTAAGTGATCCTGAATTACTTTTAAGACACCCTAGTATACAAATTATAACACAATGGGTTCAATTAATGAATTCCATTAGCAGAAGGCCTTCTCAGTGGGACTTTCCTCCTCCTCTCCTCGCATGGCTCCCCCCAAAATAGTTTCTGGTCTTTTGGGGGGAGAACGCCCAGAACAGCATGGTTCATTGGTGGGTGGGGGGTCACTCTATCTGACAAGCTGAAATTGCTTGCCATGGTAGAAAAATATCTTAGCACAAGAATGAATGTCTCCTAACGTCTTTTAAAAGGTAAAGGTAAAGGACCCCTGACAGTTAGTCCAGTCGCGAATGACCCTGGCGCTCATCTTGCTTTACTGGCCGAGGGAGCCGACGTTTGTCCACAGACAGTATTTCCAGTTCGTGTGGCCAGCATGACTAAGCTGCTTCTGGCGAAACCAGAGCAGTGCACAGAAATGCCGTTTACCTTCCCGCCAGAGCGGTACCTATTTATCTACTTGCACTTTGATGTGCTTTTGAACTGCTAGGTTAGCAGGAGCAGGGACCGAGCAACGGGAGCTCACCCCGTCATGGGGATTCGAACCACCGACCTTTCGATTGGCAAGTCCTAGGCTCTGTGGTTTAGGCCACAGCGCCTTTCACTAAATGCTAAGGAGGAAATCATTTCACACAGAGAGGGAGCTATATTGTAGCATGCATACGTGCTCATGGCTCCACCTTTCTATGAAATATTTTAGGAGCACAGAAATGTAAGAAGCTGCCTTATACTGAGTCAGAAAACTGCTCAATCTTGCTCAGTACTGTCTACACTAACTGGAAGTGGCTCTCCAGGGTTTCAGGCTGGAGTCCCTTCCAGCCCTGGAGTTACTAGGAACTGAATTTGGGACCTTCTGCACACATTTGGATCTGATATCCCACTTTATCACTACCCTAAGGAGTCTCAAAGCGGCTAACATTCTCCTTTCCCTTCCTCCCCCACAACAAACACTCTGTGAGGTGAGTGGGGCTGAGAGACTTCAAAGAAGTGTGACTGGCCCAAGGTCACCCAGCAGCTGCATGTGGAGGAGCGGAGACGCGAACCCGGTTCCCCAGATTACGAGACTACCGCTCTTAACCACTACACCACACTGGCACACACAGGGCAGATGCTCTACCACTGAGCTTAAGCCCTCCCCAAATTTTCTGCTTCATTGGTATTACTTGACTCCTTTTGGCATCAAGATGTCAACGGCTGCACTTGAATGTTTCACTTATTAAAAGAAGAGATATTAGTGGTGTGTTATGGCATAAAAACTATTACAGATTGCTCAGCTGCAGAAACACTGTGATGGGTGAAAATGAACGTGGCAAGCCCTGAATTTCTGTTACTGCTTTAACTGCAGTAAAAGTAATATATATTTGTCTTGCTCTTGAAGAGACTAATGTTGCTTCTTGGAGCTATGCCATAAACCAGAATTATGAACTTCCTAGACAACAGCAAGGAAATCAACAGATTTTAAGTTGAGTCTCTGTGCATCTAAGATTTGGAAAGAAACATGCAGCAAATTAAATATCAGATTAAATATCTGAATCGCATGGATTCTTTCTTCCAAAAAAGAGAATTCTATTTAAAGCTGTCTTCTAATATTTGACATTGACTACCAAGGTACAGGGTTGTGCTGTTTTGCTGTGTCATTTGAGTTTAGGAAACATTCTAACTGCAAAATTCTGCCGGATTTATTATTTGCTAGAAATATTTGCTGCGGAAGACAGGGTAGAGAAGATAAGCCTTCTTACTTTATTCTACTAAAATGCTAATCAAGCACCTCTGTAGAAAAGATGAAAATATAGTACAGGTGACTTTCAATTTACGCTGGGATTATGGTCCAGGAATAGCGCATAAAGCCAAAATCGTGTATTGTCAAAACACATCGGGTTCAGTGGTGGATGGGATTGCCAAAGTTTTTATTCCCGGGTGCCTGTCCCTTTCCACCCCCTTTTTCTTTAAAAAAAATGCTTGCAGGATTCGGGGGGGAAACTGGCTGGCGGCTGTGAGAACAGGGTAGGACTATATGGGCCACTGGCAGATCCAGCAGGTTCTTCTTATGTTCTTAGTTCAACAGTTAAGGAATTACCAGCCCCTCTATGTCTAAAGGCCAACTGTAATAGTCCAACATTTGTAAGATAAATCGCCTAGAAAGCTTCACACATTGTCTGCTATTCGATCTAGCATAACACAACCACTTCACTCCTTGAAGATATTCAACAACTTTGGCTCAAGTGGGGTGATCAAAGCAAGACCACAGGGTGCTGGAGTAAAGGGAGCCAATGTGGTCCATTGTACATGGTGAGTCTTTTAAAAAATGCCCCGTGGAACATGTGTACTCTGTATCCATGGGGCCTCTTTTAAAGGACTCAGCCTGGATTTCTCCCTGCCCCAAAACAAATCGAACCCAGCTGAAAATCCTACAGTTTATGAACCGATGAACTGTCAACTCATTTTAGACATATTTATCCCAAACATAAGCCTTGCATTTTCAGTACAAAATGGCATTCTCAGAAAGCCCAGATATGTATAAAGGTAAAGGACTCCTGACAGTTAAGTGCAGTCACGAACGACTCTGGGGTTGTGGCGCTCATCTCGCTTTACTGGCCGGGGGAGCCGACGTTTCTCAGCAGACAGTTTTTCCGGGTCATGTGGCCAGCATGACTAAACTGCTTCTGGCGAAACCAGAGCAGCGCACGGAAACGCCGTTTTACCTTCCTGCCGGAGCAGGACCTATTTATCTACTTGCACTCTAACGAGCTTTTGAACTGCTAGGTTGGCAGGAGCTGGGACGGAACAACAGGAGTTCACCGCGTCGCGGGGATTCGAACCACCAACCTTCTGATCAGCAAGCCCAAGGCTCAGTGGTTTACACCACAGCACCACCCACGTCCCCTTAGATATGTATAGGATCGCATATTACTAATAAATAAATTAATAAAATTTGTATACTGCCCTTTATTCATAGATCTCAGGATGGTTCACAGCATAGAAATACAGTATTTTGTGTGGCATAAGATAGTACTGTATACATCATGACTGTGAATGGACCAAGAAGCATCTAATCCCCTAACACTAGTGAATCTAAAGAGAAATGGACCCGCATGGTGGAAGAGTAGGACAACACTGGGAGCTCCATGTAATATGCTGAGTTTTCCAAAAGACAGGCAGGTTTTCAAATTAACAAACAATATTCTAGTATGCACTGTGCTTTGAAAGCACAAGAGACCTCTCATCGCTGTGAAGCACATAGGGATGTGGCAGAAAGTATTTTAACTGAATCTAGGTACATGCAGGAACAAAGAAAAACTGATGAACCCACCCACTGTCTAAACACTCCAGAACTACCTCTGCCATGAATGAAAATCTGAAACAATGCGTTTAAGTAATGGCTTTGTTGGTGCTCCTGGAAGAAAACCAACAACCTATTTTTGAGCATCTGTAACTCAGTATATTTACTGCTGAATGAATATGTCATTGGAAAGACCTAGAGAGCATCACTAAATGAAAGTATAAATAATGCAGCCACCACCAGTTCCCACTGGGAGTGCTTTCAAAAGAGCAAGAGTGGGACACAGTCCAGGCTCAAGATTATTATTGAAAGGCCTGTAGAATGCCTTTACACTTTTGCCAACAACAAAAGCCAGTAGTGGATTTTGAAAGGATGACACACTGAGCAAAAAAAGAGCTGTGACAGTTCAGAGTGAGATAGTGGGAAAGCTTTTCAGTGTCAGAAAAACAAGCATGCAAGTAGTTAGTGTGCAGTCACATATGACACACAAAGCACAAACTTTGCTGCATGTACTTGTACCAAAGCTTCCCAGTGTGCACTTCGAAAACCAATGTGCAACCTGCCCATGTAGGAACCAGCAGGTAAGACCCTTCCTTCAGAGAGAGCAACACCTGAGAATAAACCCTGTACTCCAGGACACCATTTCCGTAAGCCATTTCAGGACATCTTCACACAGGGAATACGCTATAAAAGCCCACAAACAGCTGTTTTTAGGTCATGCAAATGCACTTACCTGAAACATATCTGTATCTTTGTCGTGTGTATATTCCACTACCACCGTCTGGCTTCTTGACAACGTGTAGGATATACTGTGCTGCCCTTTACAACTGATGGCCTGTGGAATAAGACAGTTCCTGCTTTATTTAAGTAACGCCTGAGTCAGGGAAAAGCACATCACTTCAACATTTGTAAATGCTGTTACAGCCATTACCGAGTTTCTCCCTATCCTGGCTAATTCAATTTGTTTATGTGGTTTGCAGCAAGTGTGGCTCAGCCGCAACTCTGGATCACAACAAAGAGCATTCATTGTTAAGGTACTTCCCATGCAAGGTGTGAACCCACCCCCCTCAGCAAAGCTCTTGCTTATGGACAGAAAATTACAAAGATCTGTCCTTTAAAAAACAAACCAAGCTAGAATCAAGACAAATGAATCTTGGATGCAACCATGCAAGTTTCACTTTTCACACTTTCTCTCTTTTGGGCACACAATTTTTTCAAATGACCCACTTCCATAATCAAAAAAGAAAAACAGCCTGTGAAGCTTTTCTTTACCATGTCTACCAAATCTAACCCAGATGCCTTGAAGGAGCAGTGACTTTCAAAGGCAGGTACTGCATCTTTTCCAGGCCTATTCTGCTTCTAGAGAGTCTTTAACTAGAGATATCAGGGACCAAACTGAAAAGCATCCATGTACTGAGTGACAGGTGAAAACAGATTTGTAAAATTTGCCAAATACTGGCCAGATATTTTAAAAGCATTTTTAGAACAAAAGGGTATTTTCATCAACTTGCTTGATAGCTGAGCTAATCACAAATGAAATTAACTTTTTAAAAAATTATAAACAAATAACTTGGGATAGCAGTCTGCTATGTTTTATTCAGAGTAAACTTATTGAAACCAATGTTCATTAAGTTCAATTGGTCTACTATGAGTAAAACTTAACTGACTACCACCCATAGCTTTTAACTTTTAACTATGTTCTGGGAGGGCAAGCATTATGGCTTACCAGACAGAACTATTTCCCCTTTCTCCTCCCGCATGCTGTTGCAGGGATTTTTCCAAAGCCCCCCCCCCCCCATAGTGGGAGGGGAGCCCCATTGCACAAGAGAAAATCTTCTCATAGGACTTCCACTGATGGAACCCATTAGTTGAATCCCACCCTTTTCTCCTTTGGCTTTTATCCAGAAATACCAGGGTCATGAAATTAAAGCAACAGTGCCTATGAAAAGCAGAAATGATTTTTGAAAGCAATTTTACTAAGGCAGCTTCTCTGAAGCACAGTTAAATAAAAAGCAGTCAGCTGGCATTCACTGACCAGTCTCTGACACTGAGCTAAGGACCCTCCCATAATAAAGGGGAAAGATGAACCCACAGTGGTGACAGATATGCTTCAAAAGCTGGAACTTTCCATAAAAGAGAATAGAGTCTGGCGGCCGGTTCACTAGAGGTAAATGACCCTAAATTCTGTTCTGTCGCTGTCTGTTAAGATATTTGATTAGAAGTGGAAGAAAGTTGAAAGAATATCAGCCAACTCTCAGGGCTTCTCAGCTATTGGATGATAAGGGCCATTTCACTGATTTTTATTTGTTTGGGTGCACACCTAAGATGCATTAAGCATACACCTAACAATGTAAAGTACAACTGCAAAAAACCCCAAATAGTTAAGAGAAACACACGCTTCAAGCACAAGAAGAAGAAGAAGAGTTTGGATTTGGTATCCCGCTTTATCACTACCCGAAGGAGTCTCAAAGCGGCTAACAATCTCCTTTCCCTTCCTCCCCCGCAACAAACACCCTGTGAGGTGAGTGAGGCTGAGAGACTTCAGAGAAGTGTGACTAGCCCAAGGTCTCCCAGCAGCTGCATGGGGAGGAGCGGAGACGCGAACCCAGCTCACCAGATTACAAATCTACCACTCTTAACCACTACAACACACTGACACAACAGTCATAAAACCACGACTGTCTTCTTGTTGAGCACGTACATTGTGACAAACCAATTCTGTTGCTGAGTAATATTCTAAATGGCCCCAAGTGGCTATGCAAACAATGAAAGGATTGTTTAGGACTGGAGTTCACACAAGAAACTGTGAAATATTCAAAGACATAGGAGCCAACTCCTAGGCTCGGAGGTCTCTTCAGCCCCCACCCCCATATCTGAGGTGAACGGGGGCCCCCAAAGTTAATGGACACTCAAACGGTATGTGTTTGCTGCATCTTCTGATGGGTTTTGCAGGGCGGGGCTTACCTGCCCCCCCCCATATTTTATTCAAGTTGGCATCCTTGCTCAATGAAAAATCTTAACATAACATTCTGAGATGCTCCAAGATAGTACCAGAAGCTCCTCTTTCAGGGGTTTCAGAATGTTACTGAATTTGTGTGTGGTACTGAGTAAAAAATGCATCGAAAGTAGAGAACGGTGAGTGCATCTGAGCATGCCTTAGCTTTAAGTTCAATTTTATTTTTATTTTTTTAAGGGGTTCTCTCCTCCCTAAGACTGTGCCCTTTTGATTTCTGCTGCAGTAATAAATTGGGAACAATAATGGGTTACCATCTGTACTGGTCAGAAAGAGACTTCACTTTGATGAAGGCTTTACAGATGACTTGGCTTGATAAAGGGTGCAAGGGACTGGGAGACTAGTTAAAAGACCTTTGTGTCTACAGAAGCTACTAGCCCACATGGAAGGGCAAACTGCAACGAGACACCTGCTTATAATTAGACAAGGGGTCAGTGCAGCTTTACCAGGCATAGTAGCCGGATTTACATAGTCAAGGACTCAGGTGGCTTGTTAGGAGTGAACTGCCAAAGTGCCGTAATCATTACAAACTCTGGATCCTAGGCTGAACATGCTTAAGAATAAGGGCAGCACAGTAGAAAACGAGCAGCCCAATGCTATACACAACTGGAAAACAAAATAAGACGCTAAGCGAGAGTCTGGCACAAAATGCTGCTTCGGTGAAACAAATCCATTTTTATTTTTCTAATGCCCCCATCCCATTTAAACTGAGAATTTGGAATCATTAATATGAATGACAATTGTTCAAGCAAATTTGACTCCTTTTCCTCTAGGGAACTAATTGGGGCAGGATATTCCTAATAAGTTATTTTTAGCTCTGCTGCCTAGGGTACGCGAGTGGAATTCTGTCCTCATTAGCTTGTGAAAGGCCATGGCAGACTTCCACACAAATCCAAGTGATGCAGGAGCTGACATTTAAGACCTGGTGAAAACTTCTCATTTATTCTAAATATCCTATAGCATATTGCTAATGTTCAAACTCCACTTCTTAAATGAATATTTGGTTCTTGTTAAAATAACCACTCGCAGATTTACTTTTGCTATTTTCCTAAACCCTTTATATGTCCGTTGGTTCTCTAGACCAACTGTATAGATTTATTGTTAACTATTACTAACAGATGTTGTTCAACTGGTCATTTTGCTTAACAGATAAGAAAGCTGTGGTATTTGGAATCATTCAAACTGAATTATGAGCAGACCTGTATAACAACTTGAACTAAAAATGGTTGATTTTTGTAACAAAATACAGGACTAATGGAATTAAGAGTATATGGTACCCCATCATGCAGAAAGAAAACTGCTCAAGGTTCAACCAAAAAAAGCCAATTAAGTTCACCAAGAATTTTGTTACATTATGCATTTATGGCTACAAGATTCCTACTAATCAAAAATCAAGGTCTATGCCCTGTTTTTCTTAGGCCTCGTTCTTCCTGAGGAGCCACTTCTACCAGTGGGGGGTGGAGTGGGCACATGCCTGTGTTAGAAACTGGGAATAGAAATGGCTTCTGGAACCTAGGTTACGGAAGCAAAAACAGAATAGCTAGTTGCCATTCCCCACCCCCACCCCCGTTCAGCAGCACTTTCTATTTATTCTTTCGAAATGCATGAACTACAGTTATTTTTCGCTCTATAAGACGCACCAGACCACAAGACGCACCTAGTTTTTGGAGGAGGAAAACAAGAAAAAAAATATTCTGAATCTCAGAAGCCAGAACAGCAAGAGGGATCGCTATGCAGTGAAAGCAGCAACCCTCTTGCTGTTGTGGCTTCTGGGATAGCTGCAAAGCCTGCATTCGCTCCATAAGACGCACACACATTCCCCCTTACTTTTTAGGAGGGAAAAAGTGAGTCTTATAGAGCAAAAAATACGGTAATTCACTATTCACATCAGTGACACATGGTTAATATCATATTTTCAACAGCAATTCTTAATTGGACACCACAGACATAAATGGGGCTCAGCCCCTGCAATGGCCACCAAAACCCAAAGTCATGAGAATAATGAATATTTTCAAATACCAGCATATGTGTGTGTAGGACGCGTTATGTAAAGTATTGTGCTGGATTTAAACTTAGTTTAAACAGTGCTACTTTTATAACAAAAGCAGCCCTTTCACCCTAGCCTTAATCACGCACACGCGGCTTTAGTCAATGAGGCCCCCAATCCATGCACGTTTTACTTGGGAGTCTCCAGTGCCACTGCAGAAGCCTTCCCACTGTTATCCCAGCATCAGCAACAGATTGCCGTCCCCCCCACCGCCGCTACTCCTTTAATCTGGTGGTGGCAGGTGGGGTGCATAGCTGTCAACTTACAGATTTGAAAATAAGGGACCAGCAGCCTCAAATTAAGGGATCAGCAGCCAAAATAAGGGATTTTAGTCAACCAGCAGCCAAACGAAGCCTCAAGTGGTGGTTCCCATAGCGCAGCAACCCAGCAAAGGGGATGCAGCAAGGAAAACCACCGTCACCTCTCCGCTGGGAAGCGCTGAGCAAAGGCGAGTCCCCAGGCAACGTGGCCGATTTGATCGGCACAAGGCATGCAAGCTCCACCCCCCAGTCGTTCTTAGACTCCTTATTGGGTGAGCAACGCAGCCAAGCAACACAGTTGGAGCCTCCCTCCTCCCTGGCCGGCAGGGAGGGAGGGAGAGGAGCTGCTTCCTTTAAAACCCGGGAAATTTAAGGGACATCATCAATAAGGGACTGCAGCGGGACATGGCGCTGGGATAAGGGACTGTCCCGCCAAATAAGGGACGCTTGACAGCTATGGTGGGGTGCCCATGAGGTGCCACTCCATTGGGGTTCCACCACCTAAGTGTGCAGTGTGCCTTATGGTTGGGTTGGCCCTGGCATTATCAAGTCTAGTCCTCTTGCTAAACAGCAGTCGTGGGAAATGGGAGGGTGGTGAAATGGACAGACGAGGGATGTCACCATCTGTCTTTGGACTGCCACCACTTTATATGTAAGAGAAGACTGCTACTTTGTTAAACACACACCAGATGAAAATTAATTGGCCAGAATTACTGCTTCTATGTTGTAAGACAACAGTAAATCTGGGAAGTGAAATTGATCTGTATTGCCAATAAAGCCATTAAGTGTAATTTTCTGGTAACCTTTAGCAAAAGAGAATATTGCCATGGAAACTTCATGAGCTTTGAGTGCCGAGAAGGAAGCCCATCTGAAGCAGAATATTAGAAACCTTTTTTAAAAAGAATTCCCACATGCTTTTAGCCACACACCTGGCCATCTTCAGTGTTTTTTCTTGCAAGATAAGGTCTTTAAAAAATAACTCAGCTAAGCATGTGCATTTTGGAAGCGCTTAAAACACTTTGAATCCCACTGAGAATTAAATGCTGCAGAACATAAAGGTGAAAAATATTTTTTAAAGTAGCACTAAGTCAAAACTACTCATTATTTTAAAAAACATTTTGGCAGTGCCTTCACCCCCACCCCACAAAATCTCCCTCCCTTGAGAGTTTTTCTGCACTTCTGGTGAAAATGTCCATATACATTTAAATTGCTCTCACCTGCTCACAACAGCACAGCCAAATTTATTTATTTATGTGGTGTGTATGAATTTGTGGTTGAAAATGGGAGAGAGCACATCCATTACAGTGATATTCATATTAGTTCTAAATTGCACTTTTATTTTCAATTGAGAAAAAAAGAGTTTGGGAGCACACTTTAGGGTGTGCTCAATTTCTACATATAGGAAGTTTGATTTTTATGTACAATTCTCCACCAGTCTGAACTGTACTTGTCCCCAACCGCCAACATTGCTGAGGTACACCATGCAGTTGTTCTGAACAGGTAAAGTGGCTTGCCCCTTTGGAATGGCTGCACAGAAAACTTCAAAGGAAATAATTTATAAAATTTATACTTTACTTGCCCATAAATGTCTGACTTAAATCCAGAGAAGATGGATCAATTATTCCAATAACAATTGATCCCCAACCAATTCATTGCACCATCAGGCAGAGAGAGATAGTGAAAAATTAATTGCAGTCACCACAAGGTACATCGCAAATGTTGTCTGTTGAGTCCTCTCACTACAACACATGGTTTCATGCAAAACTAAGAGAGTCAATTTTGGATAGGTGTCAAAACCAGTTGAACCAGCATAGTGCAACTATCAATATTCACTTCCTTTAACTCACTGAAAGAGACTCTCATAGCTGGTAACAATCAAGACCAAACATGTCAGATTAGATTTCATATTATTGAGCCCAAATAGCTATAATGCCAAATCCTTCATTAGAGCTATGAATATACATACATTCCACTGTAAATTGGGATCAGAGCAGGAAAAATAAAGTGATGGTTTGTAAGTTCTGTAATACTGCTTCCAAGAAGTTCAGAGTCTGAGTGGGTAAACAGCACACTCTCTCATTGGTATAGCACGCTAATGAGATAAGACCCATCAAATAACTCCATTATTTTCGGACACTACAAACTGAATCTGACGCAAATCTATTTTGTATCGACAGCCAAAGATACTCTCGATAGGCACTTTGAGAGAGACCTTTAAACAGCTTCCCAATCTCTCTCGTGAGAAATGAGCAGAGACAAGACTTTAACCCTTGCCAAAATGCTATCGATTACGCACGCAACTGGCATCACTTAATGCTGTGCAATAGCAAAACACAATCGGGGGGGGGGAGCAGGGGGGGGCAGCTGGTTGAAGACTGCTTTTCCATGAGAAGAAAAAAAACGATGGGGAAAGATATCTGCCTTTTGATTGCCAAGCACTGCAATTTAGCACAAAACAGCCACAAACTGATTACTATCAGGGGCTTGAAACAGCAGCCGCAGGGACCTATCACAGGTATTAAGATCCAGCTCCTGCCCCTGCTTCCAGGAAACATCACTCTGTATCTCAACAGGGTCATTCATTCACAGAGGAAGCTTGAGTGTTCTCATACTGTATATGCCAGCCCTCCCCAATCTGGTGCCCTTCAGATGTCTGGAGTACATCATCCCATCAGGAAGGCTGCTATACAGCCCACTGAACATCTTGAGCTCAATGTTTCCTTTCTCAAATATTTATGACTATCTGTCAGCCAACCAGAACATTTACTTTCTGTCCCATGGAAAATAGTGCCATAGGGAACATCCACACCACACATTTAACACACAGTTTCCATCAAAGAATCCTGAAAAATTTAGTTTACCCCTCACAGAGCTACAATTTCCAGCACCCTAAACAACCTACAATTCTCAGGATTCTTTGGGGGAAGCCAAGCGATTTAAACGTATGGTGAGGATGTGACCTATATCCCCATTAGCACCTAGTGTACTTATAGCCTTGTGTACTTATATCTTCAACTCTTGTTCAAGAGATTCAAATGTAATTATAGAGGGTCAACCAGAAGTCCATTAATTTTGCAGATGTTCTCAACTCTCTCTTCAGATGACATGTGAGCACAAGTTTTGAATTACCACATTAGGTTGTGTAATCATGCTTTAATGGTGAAAGTAATTGATTTCTATGTGGTTTTGTCTAGGAAGTATCTAAAATACAAATAGGAAAACATTTAAATCAGCAGTCTTCAAGCTTTTCAGACTCGGGATCCCCCCCCCCCCCATCATGACCCACTCTGTCCTTCTCCCCCATCCTACTTGTCCTCGTATTAAGCAATATAAACAAAAAGGAGAGTGGCACTGGGATGTCAATTCTCTGCCACAGTTCTACCAGCTGAAGACCAATTAAGTGGTCTTGATATAAAATTAGTCCACCCTGCTTCCTATAGCTTTACGTATCTGCTCTCAGGCACAAACATCCGAAATGCAACAGAAACTCTAGCACTCAGCTAGGCTGTCTGCTAATACATTAGTACAGTGGTACCTCAGGTTAAGTACTTAATTTGTTCCGGAGGTCTGTTCTTAACCTGAAGCGCCACTTTAGCTAATGGGGCCTCCTGCTGCTGCCGCGCCGCCAGAGCACGATTTCTGTTCCTATCCTGAAGCAAAGTTCTTAACCTGAAGCACTATTTCTGGGTTTATTTCAGTCTGTAACCTGAAGCGTATGTAACCTGAAGTGTATGTAACCCGAGGTACCACTGTAAAGTGCTCAGAAGGGGAAGCCTTTCCTTAAATTCACTCTGCAGCAGGTCTTGGGTAGCCCCATCATCTTTTTTTAAGGAAAACGAAAACAACAACCAAAACCCTTAAAATTATGTCATTTTATAACATAAAGTTAGCACTACTAACATCTCTCTATAGTCCTTGCTTTGGGTAACCCAACACACTCCTAACATTTTTGGGGCCACGCATGATAATGTAAGCCTTCCTCTTTGCCCTTGGTACAATTTACCATTATCTGTCGTTAAATGATTTTGGCTATGCCTGCGCAATACAACCAAAACTTATTTAATATTATTGTACTAAATAATTTTATAATCGGAACAATTTAGCCGTAATGATGTAGAGTTAAAATCTTTATGGAGTACAGATAAAAGGTCTTCTAAGTTGAAGTAAAAAGACATAGTATGAGAAGACATGCTGGTGTGGGACAAACAAATGCCTTTGAAAAAGTCCCTAAATGTCACTGATGCTGAAAGAAAGCCCTCGGTTCTGCTGCTCAAAAATAGACCGAAAACTCATTTGTGCTTATGTCAAAGTGACTTGCCCATAAATCATCATGCTCGGAATAGGTTTTCAAAGCCACTTAATGTTCTTGAAGTTAAGTCTTACGTTGTGCTATCCCCAGGCTTTGTTAACTCTGCAATATCGGCTGATATAATATACCTATTTTGAAATGTCTGGTTACATTGAACAACAAGTAAAGTAATGCATAATGAACATTCAATGTACTGCCTAGCCATAAATTCACCATGAAGTGCCTGTTCATGAGGTTTCAAAGACATTTGGTTGGCCACTTTTAGGAAACAGAATGTCGAGCAAGGTAGACCTTGAACAGATGCGGCAAGGAAATTCTTGAGTTCTGAGCGAAAATGTCACTCTGCTGGCATAACTGGATGTAGTCTTCCTCTCATCTCCCCTGCGTGCACCCAAAATCTCTGGAGAGCCTACCCCCAATCCTCTGGAGTAGATTTTGAAGGTGCACAAGGGAATGAAAGAGAGGAGAAGTCTTGTTGCACAAGTAGATGTTTGAGTTAAACAGCAGAACAGGATACAACTCCTACTACTACTATACTAAGGGGTCAATTTGTCTTTCATGGATAATAGCCATTTTATATACCTACAGTCAATTAATTTCCCCAATCCTTTTTAAAAACCAAGTGAGTTGGCAGCCACTCAGAAACTTTTCGTCCGCTCTACGTCTTTTGAGAGGAAACATTTCCTCCAGCATAATGTCACTGCTTCTCTCAAACATAGGATAACCATCTTATTCTGCTGAAAACAGTTAAAGCCCAACATCAATAAAGCAAGACAAATTCCGATTGTTAACAAAGGGGACATTCATCAGGCGTAGCTAGTGTGCACATCTATAAAATCTGAGGCACAGTACATCTGAAATCTTGAGAACAAGGGTAGTTTCTGACAAATTTGAAAGAAAATACATTCAACCTATATGTAACTTTTCTTACAACATATAGTCTTCCCCCATAATTTGGACTTCCTTGATTTGGCAGTCTGAGGTGGTAAAGTATTTACAGAAGTAAACACTGTTACTATGAACGTGACAAAAATTGTAGAGGTGTCAAAGACATAGGTAAGAAACCTATGCAGTTGGCGACCAAAACAAGCACGATTAATTAACAGTGCTTCAGAGCTGTTTCAACACTCCAGGCAAGTACATGAACTAAAACAGTTGGTATTACTAGGCAAGTAATTTGCCCAGTATATACCAATGAATGAGTATTAGAATGAATCAGTAGAAGAGCTGTCTGGCTGTTTTGTGGGGATTTTGTAGGATTATGCATTAAATATGATATCTAAATTCTAGTTAAGAATTTAATCTGAACCGCAGTAAGCAAATTCTCAAGAAAAATTACTATGGCTGAAGCTCCCAGAACTTTGCAGCAGCTGTTTACACTATTACCCATGTCACTGAGTTAATTATGCTCTCATTACAATATAGCATAGCAAGATGTCTCTTGAATATCATTCAATGTAGCATCTACACAGGTGCTTAGCCTTGCTCATGAGTAAGCCATAAGTATTTTTATTTACCTTTGTGTAACCACACACACACACAAAAAATCACAGAGCCATGCTCAGAAAGAAAAACGGAATTTCTCATCTCAAAGTTATAGAGGTATCTGGAAACAGCCCATTTATAAAGGGAATACAAGGCAAACCCAGTTTAATAGAAGCATCTCAGATATCCTTTAACGCTAATAATTTCCAAGTTTTAATTCTCACTAGGTAGCTTAATACACATGTTCTTCTACACACATAACTTCAGATTGCCTTTAGTTCATAATAACAGATAATGGGTGCCCTGTGCTTCTAAAATAACTGTTCATTTGGCACAAGTTGTACTTAATCTTGTTTCAATGAAGCTATTTGTACAACACCAAAACTGCATCCTGTGAGTTGTTTATCTGAACTGATGGTGGCCAGAAGAGATATATTGGGAGTTGTGGCAGGAAGCTCAATGAAAATGCCAACCCAGGGCGCAGCAGCTGTGATAAAAGGCAAACTCCATGTTAGGGATCACACTTGGAATACTGTGTACTGTTTGGGTCATCGCAGCTTGAGGAGGATATTACTGAGTCCACAAAGGGCAACAAAACAAAGGGCTGAAGCATTTCTCTTATTAAGAACATTTGGAGCTTTTTCATTTATGAAAAAGGTGAGTGGGGGACAGGATAGAGGTGTATTCAACTATGCATAGTGAGGGGGATGTGGATAGAGAATTTTTCCTCTCTCTTACATAATACTGGAACCAGGGGTCATCCAATGAAACCGAATGCTGGAAGACTCACGGCAGACAAAAGAAGGTACTTCTTCACACACGACTTGGATGGCTTTTAAAGGAAATTGGACAAATTAATGACACAGAAGGCTATCAACAGCTGCTAACTTTGATGACTATATATTTCATCTGGTATCAAAGACAGCATGCCTCCAAATACCAGCTGCTAGGAATCACTAGTTGGAGGGAGTTCTTGTACTCAGGTCCTGTGTATGGATTTTCCATACACATCTGGTTAGCCACCACAAGAACAGAATGCATGACTAGGTTCAATCCAGCAAGGCATTTCTTATTCTCATAGGTCACTACCGCCATTTGCTAAACATGTCTGATGAGTGTATTCCAGGGACGTCCAACTCCCAAGGGCCTGTGATCTACTCCCAGGGGGGAAAACTGGCAGTGATCTACCCATCGGGGGGGGGGGAGTTCAGAGTTGTTGAGTTTTTTTAGGGGGGGGCAGGTCAAAGTTGTTGAACTATTTTTAAAAAGTGAATATGCAGAATTAAAAAAAAAGAAAGGACACTCATCCGGGAATCAACCTGCCGATCGCGGTCGACCGGTTAGACACCCCTGGTGTATTCCAATAACTGTTTGTAGGCTGGTTCTTTATGGCTGAAGTCTCCCCTTTTTAAAATAGAAAAGAAGGACATACATAAATCATCAACAAGAAGAAAACGAAATGAAAACATGATTATTTGCCACTTCACAAGCAGGTTGCCAACCGCAACCCACACATACTGTGCTTTCCAGGATTTCTGAAGGTTAGGAGAGGAGGCGACAGCAGTGGCATGACTTTGCATAACAAAGCCCTTCAGGAGAAAGAGACAAATTAAAGCATTAAGAGCTTCTTCATTTATTTTCTACCAGTATATAGCCAATTGGGTCTTTGCCTGAAATAAGCTTTACACAGCACACACTGATTCCTGTCAGAGAAAAGAAGGTGCAAAAAGGTCTATGTCCAACACAGGAGAACCTGCCTCCACCCTCTCCTGACCTAGAAAAGGTGTATCGGTGTCAGCAGACATGCAAACTGATCTGAGGATGGAAAGAGGCACAAATACTGCACATCTAGAGAAGAGGAGAAGCTGGTCAAAATCATTGCTCCACAGCCAGAGAGATTCCTCCACTTGCTCACTCAGCTAATTTTCAAACAGTCCCATCAATTCACTGAAGTATTGTGGCTCCTCAGTCTCTGAGGAACATCAAATGTTCCAGAAGTAGTTCAAGGATGACCAAGAAACAGAAGTGCCACACAACCTTCCCTTCCCTTGACCTCTTCCTTTCCACCTCCACCAGATTATTCTCCTTTTTACTGTCTGGCTATCCCCCCTGGCCCTCAATTTCTTCCCTTCTGACCACCCCATGCATTCTTCCTAAAGGGGCAGTGTTCTCTGTTTGGATCCTGTCTCTCTGCAGGAAACCATTCTGCTCTTTCCTCCTTCCTTCGTCCCTATGTTCAAATGTAACGGCCCCTTCTTTTCTTGTCTCCCCAAATTTTGTAGGATAATTCCCCTTTTCTTTCAAATCTAAACCTCCCCCACCCCGTCCCTTTTATGATAGCAGCCTATTTCTCCCCTTTTGGATTTTTCTGCATCCTACAAAAAACCTGGCCAGCTTTGTGAGTGGAGAGATTCTTGATAAGAAGCTGCTTCTGTAATCAAATTTAAAATAATTGTTTAGTGGTGTCAGGAATAGCTAAGCTACAAGAGTGCTTATTTTTTATTCTAGTTATCTGGTACCAGCATTCAGAACCTGTTACTTTTCTTCATGAACCGAGCCCCAAAGACGTTGTGTATCTCTAGTGCATAGAGTAGAAATGGAAAACAACAACAACCCCAGAGCTAAAAGCAATTCAGTAAAAGATAGTTACAGCCTAGGTTGAAGACATTTTATAGTACAGTAAGACTGCAAATGTAAATAATGGTTTGGATTCTTCCCTCCGTTCACCGCCTGCCCCCCCAACCCCAAAGAGTGGATTTATTTTATTTGTAGCAATGTGTATCAGTAAAGGGAGCTCTCTGCCATTTATCATACAGATGACTTATCTGGCTGGAAGCTAGAATTAGAAGAAAAATATGACAGAAAAAATGATAGTTTTGAGCAATGGCAGCTATAAAGCACAGCATGCATCCTACACTCGTCTCCTTAAGTGAAGCAACGTCAAAATCTAAATAATCTCAGCAAACTGGGAGGTCAGATGCTTCAATATAGTCATCTGAAGTAAATTTTTATATAGACCTTCAGCCTACTAGTTCTTTCGAAAATATTCTACTTACACATATTGATACCCTATACTAAGTCAAGCTAGCCTATCACTGTCCCGTTAGCTCAGTACTGCTGACAATGACTAGCAGCTATGTCTCCAGAGTCTCAGGTAGTAGATAACTGCTGATGCCAGACTGAACCTGGGAATTTATGAAGTAATACCATGAGCCACTGTTAAGAAACGCTGATATATACAGTTAGCTAATTGACAAATGGCACCTTAAACCTGGCTTGCGGTTGCCACAACGGTATGTCTAGGTGCCATTTCCACCTCACTGGGGCTTATCAACATCATCATCATCTGCATTTCTATACTGCAGTTGACAGCACATTAAAACATCAAATAAAACAATCCAGAAGAAAACAAATTCAAGCTTCCAGGAAAAGATTTCCAATCCTTCTCAAAGTGACATTCTGCTTTTCCCATATTTATTCAACTGCTAGGAAGCCAGTGGGTTAAACTCAAGAGTGTCAGACTAGGAACGGGGAGATTGGGGTTCAAATCCCCCCTCGGTCAACTGGGTGACCTTGGAGTCAGTAGCAGTCTCCTAACCTACCTCACAGGGTCGTTGGAGGGATTAACTGAGAGGCAGGGGTGAACCATGTGCTCCTTGAAGAAAATGTGGGAGATAAATGCAATAAATAAGCTCTTCTGCTTGATGGAGACATCAGTCGCTTGGCATCCAGAGATGTCCACATGGTCACGAATGGACCTGCGCCTACTGCCTGGCTAATTTCTAACACTGCCCTGAGCTGGCTAATTAATAACAGCAGGGCGAGGGGAACCAAATCCAGAAGACATTCACCCAGGAGTTCTTAAAGAATTAAAAAAGAAGAAGAAATTGCTGGTCTTCTAATAAAATAAGCTCTATATCCAAGGGTTGGCCAGTGGCTAAATTAACACTGAGTTTTAAAAGGGATCAAGGAAATTGGTGGAAACATTATTAAAGATAGAATAAGTCTTGCTAGAGCGGAACCAGCATGGATTCTGCAAGGGTTAGTCCAGTCTCACTAACCTATCTGCCCAAGGCCAAAGTTCTTATGATGCCATCTCAGTTTCATATATGAAGAGGCCAACTCAAATCTGGCACCAAGCAATTCCAAACTATGATCCAGTTGCACCAACACTAGTTATGTGGGGTGCTTTGGTTCTTCTATAGCAGGCTTCCTCAACCTCGGCCCTCCCCATGTTTTGAAACTACAATTCCCATCATCCGATTGGTCCCCAAATTTCCGAGGTACCGCTGTATTCTGTTGTTGTTGTTTAGTCATTTAGTCGTGTCCGACTCTTTGTGACCCCATGGACCAGAGCACACCAGGCACTCCTGTCTTCCACTGCCTCCTGCAGTTTGGTCAAACTCATGCTGGTAGCTTCGAGAACACTATCCAACCATCTCGTCCTCTGTCGTCCCCTTCTCCTTGTGCCCTCCATCTTTCCCAACATCAGGGTCTTTTCCAGGGAGTCTTCTCTTCTCATGAGGTGGCCAAAGTCTTGGAGCCTCAGCTTCAGGATCTGTCCTTCCAGTGAGCACTCGGGGCTGATTTCCTTAAGAATGGATAGGTTTGATCTTCTTGCAGTCCATGGGACTCTCCAGAGTCTCCTCCAGCACCATAATTCAAAAGCATCCATTCTTCGGTGATCGGCCTTCTTTATGGTCCAGCTCTCACTTACATACATCACTACTGGGAAAACCATAGCTTTTACTATACGGACCTTTGTTGGCACCGCTGTATTCTAGGAGACCTCAATTAAAATGTCTAGTTCTGTTCAATTAACCAGAAAGTGGTTTTTAATGCAATGCGGCAAGCTGTTGCCTGGGCCTTCCTGGGTTCTAGCTCCTATCATATTCTGCTCAGAACTTTCCACTGTTGACTCCCAGTCAACCCATGAGGAACCATTGGTGTTACATGTTACATGCCTTTTTACTCAAGCTATTTTCTCATGCTTAGTTGTGATCTTTTAGAGAAAGAGACAGCCTTCTGGTTTCTATTTTAAGCAAAGGGGTACAAGAAGCCAGAAAGAAATAATAAATAAAATTATTAAGCGCCCAAGTATTATTCCCTCTCTACATCCAGAAATCTGCATGACCACAAGAAGGCTGCAGACTATGAAATGTGAAATCCATTGGAGAGCGGCCATTTGCCTTTCACAATGCCAACAGAGTTGAAATCAAAGCCCATTTCAAATGTTCATTATTATATTTCTTTATAAATCACTTCCCATGAAGCATCTCAAAGAGATTTCACAATATAGCATAAAACAAGTTTGCCTATAATAATTAATGTGGGGGGCAGCATTACAGCAGGTTCCATCACCCCACATACATGTGTTCACAGTAAGGTCAAAGAATACCCCATGCATACAAGTATAATTACACAGAATACTTTCTGCGCAGTTGGAAACCCTCTTTGAGAACAATCGTATGTGTGTGGGTTTTACAAAAAATATATATATATAAAAATACGTAGAGATTAGAAGTAGAACTTGCCACTTAGATACAGCACACCCACACAGTGCAATAACTGCATACACTATGGATATCGGGAAAGGATAAACACACATGCATTTTAGCTCACATGACTGCAGAGGAAACTTCCATGATGAGCAGTTTTTGCTCATACCTGGAGATGACCCACCAACTGATAATCCTTTCCCCAAGATTTCTTGCCTATGTTCAAATTTTGTACAGAAAAGCTTTTGGAATTTAACCCACTTTTCTTCACTTGACACAAACTATAGGTTCTGGTCCAGAGAAAGAGAGTTTCAAGCACAGACTGTTTTAGACATAATTTTATTACATTCAAAAGGCATCACACTCATAAAACAGTTTTCTGGTCTCAGCTCTACAAAGCTGCTCTGTAATAAGAGGACAAGTGCAGATCACAAATACAAATCTAGCGTAATTGGTGTTTATTGGCAATCTTGCAATTTTATATTGTTTTGATTCATTCATTCATTGTTGACTTGTTTTAATTTGATGTTCACGGCAATGGAGTCCATTGAGCCAAAATGTAGTTATGCTGTGGTTTCTTTGTTTATTAAATCTGTATACCATCCTTCATCCGAAGATCACAGGGCAGTTCACAACACAAAATACAAAATGAACACAAAATATGTAATGAGGGCACCATGCAAGCCTCCCTGGTGAGAGCATTCCACAAAGGGAGCCACCATAGAAATGCCCCATTCTCATGTTGCCACCCTCCAGACCTCTTGTGGAGGAGGCCCATTAAGAAGGGCCTAAGATTATGACTGTATATACAACTGTGCTTGCTATTTATGTTGCACTGTTGGACTCCTGCACAAGCACAGTACATAGTATTCAAACCTAAGAAAATCTCTTTGGGTCATTGATATAAGATTGCTTTGCTTTTCCTGTTACTAGAACTTCCAAAGTACAATAAATTGGTAGAGGAAAACTTAAAAGATAGCCGTGGCACAGCATACCCGAAGGAGCATCTTCAACCTCATCGTTCAGTCTCGACACTAAGGTCCAGCAAGAAGTGAAGGGCCTCCCGCTGCCGCTGTGCCACCGGAGCACGATTTCTGTTCTCATCCTGAAGCAAAGTTCTTAACCCGAGGTAATATTTCTGGGTTAGCGGAGTCTGTAACCTGAAGCGTATGTAACCCGAGGTACCACTGTATCTGATTTATAGAAGACATCCGAAGGCAACCCTGTATCAGGAAATTGTTTATGTCTAATGTTTTACAATTATTTATTTGCTGTAGGCCACCCAGAGTGAGTGGGGAAAGCCAGACAGATGGATGGGGTATAAATAATAATAATAGTAATAGTAATAATAATAATTAGATCGACATGTTAAAGTTGCAGAAGTGCATCTACAAACACTGTAGCATTTTTCTCAGCAAAGGAAAATTGGGACCTTTCTCTGTAACTTCTAGTCCCGAGGTGTGGGGTGGGAATCTCCGTTCTGATCATAAAGGGGGAGTAAAGAAGAAGTCTCCCTTTCTTGTATATCGGCTTATTAGAAAGAATCCTGTTCCTCAAGGCCTGTAATTCTTTGAGGACAAAATGAGTGCCTACCTACTATGTACTAAGGAAACATCTAGTTTGGCTCTTAACCTCTCCAAGTTCAAGAGCTGTTTAATGCACATGTAAGAGGCCAAAGATTATGACATTTTACCAACAGGTTCGCTTTCAATCAGGAAAGTTCAGGAAGATGAAGAAACTGAGAATATAGATGACCTCCAAACACACTTTGATCAAGTGAAGCACAGTGAAGGGGGGGGTGGTCAGAAAAGCCTTGAGTGCCATTTCCAGCTGTTTTATTTAAGACAAGAGGAAGACCGATAGTGCCTCACTATAGAATGTCTAAATGGAAATACATAATAAAAAACTGCACATATAAAAACTTCAAGGCATTGTGAATGCTAAGAGAAGGGAAACAATTACATGAGAATGGTGTTGAATGTAATTTTCATCGAGACATCTCAGTAAAGAGTTCCACCATTGATTTCCAACTGGATGATGAATGCACCCTTTGTAGGATAAAGCAAGGCCTGAGAATCCAAAAATGCGGTTGGAATTTCAAGTACAGTGGGACCTTGGTTCTTGAACTTAATCCGTTCCCGGAGTCCTTTCGACTCCCGGAACTGTTCAAAAACCAAGGCACGGCTTCCAATTGGCTGCAGGAGCTTCCTGCACTCAATCGGAAACCACATTGGACGTTAGGCTTCCGAAAAACGTTCGCAAACCAGAACACTTACTTCCAAGTTTGCAGCAATCAGGAGCTGATTTGTTTGACAACTAAGTCGTTTGAGAACCAAGGTACCACTGTATCCACCACCACCTCTGCGAGCAACCCAAGAGCATGGATCTAAAGCCACTGTATTTCTGTTTCTCCTGAGCTGAGCAAAATCCATCTGAGAACTGAAACACACCAGCACTGGCCCATATCTGGCAGAACAGCAATGCGGGAAAAGCCACTGAGAACACCTTTGCCTGATATTTTATTGGTTTAAATATTAAGAAGCATGCTTCATGTACTGTTGGAATAAATGTGCAGCTGTTACTTAATTATTGCAAGAAAAAAGGACATTCTCCCTGAAGGATGATGTTCCTATGGCAGCAGTATCACATTTGGCCAGCATTTAAACACAACAATATTTTGTCACTGGGAAAAAATGCAATCTTCACCAGCAAATAATGGGAAATACAGAGCAAAGTGTATTTTAAGGACTTTGGAAGCTAAACATTGCCCTCCTCACACTGCCTCTCAAGAGGGACACTTGAAAAAAAACTGTTTTTCTTCTCTCCCACGCCTCTTCAATTTATCTACTCATTTTTAGTTTCTTTCATAAACAGGAAGGAAATATAACCAGAAATATTGGTACTGAAAGGTCCCGATTTCAGTTTAACTTTATTTGTTTTGATTTTGGCTCATTTAATAGTTTTCCTACAGGAGCACTCTGTAAATGAAAAGGGGATGGGGGGCCCTGGTTCCAAACCCGATCAAACAGACTAGCTTACTAGTGTCAGGTGTGAGCCAGCAATAAATCACACAAAGTAAGTGAAATTAAATCTGTATTAGAAGAAACAGGCTCTGCTCAGGAGTGCCAGGCCTAATGAGAACAGCAACTCTTCTTTGGTAGATCTTGCTCCTATGAGGCAGTTGTGGAGACAGGAGGCCCCTGCCTTCCCACAACAGCCTAAGTCTCCTCCTCTCCTGGAACTTTCCCAAGCCATCTGAGACTATGCCAGTGTGCCTGCCTTTGCTTCTATCACTTCATACCTCTCCTGGTCTTGAGAGACTAGGGGGAGGGGAGCTTAGAAGGCAAGACACCTCTGCTTCTTTACCAGTCTGACTCATCTTTGCCTCTTGGCCTCCCTCCTCTCCTGCTTAAGCTTCTGCACCCAATTCTGGACTTCTCTCTGCCAGATTCTCCTTGCCCATTAAACCTTACTACCTCTTCGGCTTCTGACTCCTCCTCTTCCCAAGTCTTCTCCCTCTGATCACTCATCACTGTCCCACCACCAATCCCCAGGCTCTAAGCCTTCTTCCCTTGGGAGTTCACCAGCTGGTGCCTCCCATCATTCCTTTGTGTCCTGTCCATGGCAACTCATAATTTCTACTGCCACACATGCTGCTCCTTCTACACCACTCTTTGGGAAGATCTGCCTAGAGTTTGATGTTGCTAATTGCAATCAATACCTACAAAATGTACAACCTGTGTGCTTTTACTCAGGGAGGCCACAGCCTCTACAAATTTGTTCTTCAGGATTTGGAAAAGAGTGAAGACTGAAAGAGCTCCTGCACACTTACAGTAAGAGCCAATTTGATGGCTGTTTCTTTCTTCCCCCACCCAACCTTGTGGACATAATCTCTCCTTTCTACTCTTAATGACTTGAGTGATAACAGTTTATGGAAGGGGCCATGGGCCAGTGGTAGAGCACCTGCTCTGTGTGAAGTCCCACCTCTGCCTAAGAATATGGAAAGGTGCTGCCAGTCAGAGTAGGCAATGCAAGAAAAGGCTAGAAGGACAAATAGGCTGACCTGGTATTAGGAAGGTAAATCTATTTCCAGTCCATGTTACTTTTGCATGTGTTCCTCAATATTCCCATTTTCATACTAACTGTGTGGGTTTTTTTAAATCCACATGAATATTTGCATTGTATTTGAATACTTATCTTAAAATGTATTTTTCTCAAAACATACATGTCTAAACATATTCTCTCTCCATTTATTCATTTTAAGTGTATTTGATACTTTTTTTAAAGCCAAGAATTCCTTTGAAACATTCAGAAAGTGAAAAAGCCAGTAAATAACTAAGTTCCATTATGTACTTTAGTCCAGGCGCAGATTAGGTCGATTTGTCTCAGAATTCACAAAACTTAACTGTTCAAGCACCCCTATCTGCTATAAAGCAATTTCCTATGAGAGTTCTTGATGTTAGCTTTTATACTTGGAAACATTCATCATTTTGATAGATGGGCCACATAGAATTTACCTGTGCACAAAGACACATGCAGACATACCACACTCCATAGAATCATGGAATGTCCAGTTACCTGGGTGGGAAGCAGATTTTGTTTTCACCAAAGGGACATCACTAAATGAAACACAAGTGAATCACAACTATTGTGATTCATGTTCATGGAAGAAAAGAGAAGTGGGCAACTATGAAAACCTGTTGGGGTGAGGACTAAACAGCTTCCTGCCCCTATCAACCCAGTCAATCAGATTTAGGCCGCCCCATGTTGCCTTCAGTTTCTTGGTTATGCTAGAGTAAAATAAGATATTGGAGACCAGCAGAAATAACTTACTTAGCCCTCTAAATACAGATCAAAGGAAACTATTGTGATGCCCCAAGCGGCTCACATAAGTAAGAAACCGACGGCAGCTTGTCATCTCAACCCAAGAAAAACACTGCTGACAGTGACTGATGACATGATAGAAGAGTGAAAAGTCAGAGAGATCTATCTTGCACCTTACTGCCTTGGTGTCTCTCTTTGCCTCAGCCACATCTGTTTTCTGAAATGTATATTCAACACAAAATTGTGAGTTAATTTCTAATGGCTAGGGCTTGTTTCTCCTTTTTAAAAGTAAGTAAAGCCTATTTTTAAGTAAAGCCTATTTTCTTCTGATTTCATGGTTTGACACCACAGACACCCCCCACCCCCCATTTACACGTATTTCAATAATTGCAGGTATTCCTGGATGACACTGATTATCTAAATCCACTACAATCTGGGTTCAGACCCAGCTTCGGAACTTAATCAGCCTTGGTCGCCCTGATGGATTACCTTTATCGTTAGAGGGGCAGAGGGAGTGCAACCCTGTTACTTCCACTCAGTCTCTCAGTGGCTTTTGATACCATGGACCATGGTCTCTCTCCTCCTGGACTGACGCGGTAGGATGGGTATCAGAGGCACAGTTTTATGGTGGTTCTGTTCATATCTTCAGGGCTGTATCCAGATAGTAGGACTGGGTGAGTGCTCCTCGGTCCCCTCTGGTTTTCTGCAGAGAACTATCCTCCTCTCAGTGCTATTTAACATCTATATGAAGACACTGGGAGAAGTCATTAGGAGTTTTGGAGCAAGATGTCACCAGTGCACTGATGGCACGCATCTCCACTTCTCCATAACAACTGAATCAGGAGAAGGTGTGAAAGCTCTGGATCGGTGTATGAATGAAGGGCCAATAAACTGCGCTTAAATCCTGGGAAAATGGAGCCTCTTTGAGTTGGCTAGCTCCCATGTTTAGAAGACAGGCAAGTTACCTGTTCTGAATGGGGTTGCACTTCCTCTGAAGGAGAAAGCACCACCTTTGTCTGGTTCACCAGCTATGGCCGTTCCTGGACAGGGATAGCTTGACCGCTGTAGCCTATGCCTTGGTAACCTTTAGGCTGGATCACTGCAATGTTCTCCATATGGGGCTGCCCTTGCGTCTGGTTCTGAAGCTCCAGCTGGTGCAGAATGCAAAAACTGGTGGAAGCATATAGCCCCACCATATCTACACTTATATATAATCATAAGATGGTGGTCAGCATCATGATTCTGCACACCAGAGATATTCCCTCTGATCACAATCTTCCTAAGAGGGTACATATCCAAGACACTGCTCTCCAGGTGCCTCTCATGAGTCCGGAAAGCAGAACAAATGCAATAATTCAAAATATAAATCCGACAGGTTCTTTCTATCTAGATTTTGTTTATATTCCATGCTTCCTCAAAACTTAAAAACGTAGCACATACGGTGTTCTGAGGCAGTCTCCCATCCAGACTTTGACTAGACTCAGACCTGTTTAGCTTCATATCAAGACGGCCGCATTACGTGCTTTTAGAATGAGTCCTACCCATCTGGAAGGAAGACCCCATTTTCAGTTAGGTCAATTTCAATATCTGAGCCAACACATCACATTTCATGCTTTGTAAGTTCAACTATCCACAAGACATTATCAAAACAGCCCTTGTTGTTTACATTCCTAAACATTCACCACAGTTGATGGGCTGACATTATCAAAAAGATAACACAGGAGTGCATGAGCCTTTATCGTTCACTCACCGCTGTGCACTAACCTAAGCACTGGGTTACACTACACTGACTTCTGAGAAGCAACTACCAACACCCGGTAACAATATATGTTTACTCCAAATCCAGGCATGTGTTTTTGCGCTCACACACATTTTAGAACCTACAAAGAAAAGTGCAGACTTGTTTGCTTCTGCGCATCTACCACATGCATGGAGGAGAACTGCAGCGGCCAGCACCACTCCCAACAGTCCCTAATGTCTGTGCATTGAACAGAATGACAAAAAGGATAGAAATTTGATAATTAATTAATACAGAGCACTGTGTATGTAGGTTCTGCTTTCTGAAGTTCAACTGGAAGAGAGTTCCACAAAACTGGGTCCACAATACTGAATGCATGGCTACTTGTAGTTACAAGCTGTGCATCTGAGTCATGGGGGAGCACTAACAGTGACTCCCCCAGATACCTCTATACTGGAGCAGAGATATAAGTTATCAGGTGGTCCCTGAGGTATCCTGGACCCAAGTTGCTAGGGCCTTGTAAATTAATACAAGAACCATCTTGACCAGTTGCATATGAGCAGCTGGTGCAAGATTTTGAGTGCCTGGGTTATGTGCTGGTGATAGTCTGTCTTCATCAACAGTTCAGCTGCAACAATTTGCACCAGCTAGAGCCTCTGGATCAGGCCCAAGGGTAGCACCACACAGAGCACATTGCAATAATCAGGTCTTGCGGTTTCGGGTGATTAAGGACAGAATAAACAGAAAAATGCAATTTTTGTTTTGGCAAACAACTCAGAAATACATGCCGGACATTAAGAAAGAAACATGACACAGAGGCCAGAATGCATTAATATTCTGTAAAGTGAGAATTGCATTTAGTCTCTTGCAGATGCTAAAGGTCAATGCTGAAAGAGCTAGAGCAGAACCGAAAGTTTTAATGTTAGTCTGGAAATTATTTCTAAGAACAAAGCATGTTTCTTGTTCTTTTGTATTTGAGTTTGGAAATCATATGACTATAGAACATGCAAAAATAATTCCTGGCCCTGTTGATTTAGTTTCAGGCTCCATAAGCTCCAAGAAAAGCTATCTGAAAAAATCTTTCAATTTATTTTATTATTTATTTTTTTAAATTCAAATCTGCTTTTGCACTTTGGAAACAGCAATAGCTGTAACCCATTTCATCACTGTTCTCTGGGCAGACATCCAGAAACCATACCTTACACAGCGATTTAAAAAGCACAAAAGCTCTTTCATAAGGGTTCAAAGAAAGTGCAAGAGAATTATGTTGAACCTGGCATCAATTTCCACTGAAATGCAAAATAATAAAGGATTTTAATTACCATATCTCACTTAACTTTTATTGTCTTTGTACTCACAAAAGCCAGTATTCTGCATATTAAATTCAAGGTGCATGATATGTAATCAGGTTGAAGCTGTTTTTAGGTAACAAGGTGCCTCTGGCACTCTCAACAGGCTTTTGGCAAAGTGATTAGCTATTGTGAAATCCAGATGTTAGAAAATATGGTATTGGAGGCAATTTCCCCTTTCTGTTACCCTCATGAAAACTGAGAGTGCAAACAAGCAAGGCTTGTGCACAGAAATGTTAATTTTCCTCTGATCTTAATTCCTCATTTTGACAATACACATGTACAAAAGAGTAGAATTTGTTGTATCTGATTCCCAAGAGAATAACCCTACAACATGGAACTGTGGATATGAAAAAAAAATCACCCCAAGTAGTTATACATGAAGAATGCTGTGTTCTCAGAGAGCTGTGCACTCCACCTAAAAGCGTGCAGCAAAGAACTCAAGGAAGAAATATTAATGCAGCAGCAGCAGCATCTATCCAAATCACCTGATAACATCAGAAACATTTACCATATTGGTCTGAATATAAGCCGCACCCGAATATAAGCCACACCTTTAAAATTGAAGGGGGGGGAGACAATACCCAAATATAAGCCGCTCCCTTAAAATAGTGCAGGCACTCACACCCGTTCTGTTTTACCGTATGACTATTTCAGCAGCGATATCGTAAAAGCCAATTTTTGTAATGTCACGAGTTTAAGCCGCACTTTAGCTTTTCATGGTAGGAATTTGGGGGTGATACAGTATATTAGGCACAGAACTTCTTTATATACAAGTCCCATTTCCTCAGAAATTACTGGATCCTCAAATGTGCTCTTCAGGGGTCAAGTTGTAATCAGTGCCTGTTCACTATTAAGACTCTACCCCCTCTACCCCCCCCAAAAAATACACCCACTCACTCTGAACAGTACTCACACTTGAAACTGGAAATCCACAATAAGCTTATTGCCATTTGCTTCATATGTAAACATCCCAAAGGATTTCTAGTTCTCTTAACCAGTTCTTTAATTTTTTTGTGGTATTTGTGGTACTTTTCATTCCTTCTTCTTGCTTCCTCCACTCCCTTTCAGACAATATTCCATCACTTGAACTCCTAAGCAGACTGCAAGATGGTCTTGGACTTACATAATAATAATAATAATCTATTATTTATTATTTAGACCCCACCCATCCGGCTGGGTTTCTCCAGCCACTCTGGGCAGCTTCCAACAAAACACTAAAATACAATAACCTCTTAAATATTAGAATCATAGAATAGAATCATAGAATCATAGAGTTGGAAGAGACCACAAGGGCCATCGAGTCCAACCCCCTGCCAAGCAGGAAACACCATCAGAGCACTCCTGACATATGGTTGTCAAGCCTCTGCTTAAAGACCTCCAAAGAAGGAGACTCCACCACACTCCTTGGCAGCAAATTCCACTGTCGAACAGCTCTTACTGTCAGGAAGTTCTTCCTAATGTTTAGGTGGAATCTTCTTTCTTGTAGTTTGGATCCATTGCTCCGTGTCCGCTTCTCTGGAGCAGCAGAAAACAACCTTTCTCCCTCCTCTATGTGACATCCTTTTATATATTTGAACATGGCTATCATATCACCCCTTAACCTCCTCTTCTCCAGGCTAAACATGCCCAGCTCCCTTAGCCGTTCCTCATAAGGCATCGTAAAAGCTTCCCTAAACAGGGCTGCCTTCAGATGTCTTCTAAAAGTTTGATAGTTATTTTTCTCTTTGACATAATAATAATTTATTATTATTATGCATCAATCTAGCAAATTCTGTTAACAGAATGTCAGAAAGAACCCAGAGTCCAATAAGGATGAGATTTCCTGGTGTAATTGTCCCTATATAAGCATGGGGAAGCTAGGAAGTGAAAGGTGTAGAGTCGTCCAGGGGTGTGGGGAGAAGAGAACCAACTGGATTTCAAACAGGCACCACATTTTGGGCTCTCATTCATGCGCAATGGATTTTCTCCTTCCTTGCTGTCCTTCTGCCAGCAGCAGAAGACTTTCTTGTTCCAACACTGTTTGGGGAAGAGACTGCTTTTCATGAAAGGGCTGGTTCCATGCTGTTTTTATTGTAATTATTTGTATGAGATATAGATAGATGATAGATAGATAGATAGATAGATGATAGATGATAGAGATAGATAATTCTATTAATGTTTAATTGTTTTTTAATTATTCTCCTTCTGCATGTTTTTAGCTGTAAGTTGCTCTGAGTCAGGGAAAACGGCAGAGTATTATTATTATTATTAATAATAATAATAATAGCCTTTCATCTGTGAGAGGAGGTTTTCTGGTGCATTCGCCTTATATCATAACTGCTAAAAAATATATCATTTCCCATAACATCACAAAGATTTATTCTTTATAAAGAACATTCCATCAATTCTGGAAATCTATATTTTCTTCTATCTGAATTCACAAATGTACATACAGTTTACATATCACAGATTTCAGATCATCAGTATTTTATTTCTTTCCAGGATGCAGATATCGGCATTTCCATCACAAACAAGGTTCCTCTACAGAGTGAATATCATACAGAACCACTGTGTATGTTCCATAAATAGTTTGCTATTATTTGGCTCTTTGGAGGTCTTGTATTATTGAAAAGCAAACTAAAATAACATCTTACATTAGGAATGGCCAAGTTCAGCAAGTACGCATGGGGAAAGAGGAGGTATGCTTTAGATTCAAGCTGCTCGGCCATATTGTGAATTTCCTCACACCAGTCAGCTATAATGCAGTCTGCACTAGGGGAAACCCAGAAACTCTCCAGTCGTTCCTCAACTGTGACATCATTACGGAAGTATAGGCAACGTCCCATGGAGAAAAATTCTGCTCACGGCATCATCTATGTCTTAACAAAATTACCAGATAAGGTTTCTAAAGATGAAGGCGGACACTGCAAAGTTCCTTTTCGTTAAGCAAGTAGGTATTAAGAAAAGCAGGATATGAATGCAAGAATAAACCAACAACAGTTAGTCATCTGCTAAACCCCTACAGCAGAGGAACTGAGGATTCCCCTATTTCAGCTCATCCTTTCAACAGAAGAGCAGTGTCTTCCAGTGACTGCAGAATACCATGCCAGATCATGTTTAGACAGCTCTTTTTTTTCTTGAGCCTTTCAGTTTTAATCTAAACTCCTCCCAATGGCATTACACAAACAGACAGCGGGACAGACCTCTAAACTCCTCTGCACCTTCTAAGAAGGAGCCCACCTTTCCTGTCTGCTCTTAGTAAGATGAGAAATAAAAAATACTTGCAAACATGTTTAGATCCAGCATTTGAATTTTATTGTGAAAAACATTCGAAATTTATGAAGTACAGCTGGCTGTTGCATGGACTCATAACATTCCAATAGCTATTATTAAATTGCCATCATGGTATAAGAGTGAATAGCTTAATTTGTGTACTCAGTTTCACATCCACATTGTTCCTTCATTTAGACTATCTTTATGTGTCCTTAAATCTGCGGTGATCCTCTCTTAATGCAATATAGTTGCCTAGCAGATGGATTGAGAGTATTTCAGATTTGGGGATACTATAATCAAATTCTGTGTGTCTGGGCAACAAGGTATTTTGGATTTTTCCAGTCCACTATCCCCTGTCATTCAGACACAACCAAACACAATCAGCTTTCCAAGTCCCTGTCCACATGGCTTTTGCCTTGGGTATCAGAGACTTGGGCAGGATTTTAAAGAGAAAACATAAAACTCAACTACACTGATGAACTGGTCTTGCAAAAAGATATATCAGAAAGAAAGAAAAATATTCCTTAGTTTACAGTAGTGATATATTAGCTAAGTAGCGCATGACAGGGAAGAGAAATATAAACTGTATAACTAAGTAAATTCTATATCTTGTCAAACAAAAAAATTAACCATGAATTGGGTTTTCAGTAAGAGGAGTGGGGTCTGGCTTTGGTTAACGATTTGCTATGAGAGAATGCAGAACACTATTCTTGATGGAACCGAAAACATCTTCTCAATGAACAACTGCAAAAGAAGATACAGTACATATCTAGAAAGGCAAGCAAATGGCAAGGCAGAAAAACACAGGAGAGAGGGATTCATCTAACCAGCCCCATCAGCAGAAGCCCTGTACAAGGACTTCTGCTTATTCAACAGAGCTCCCTTCTCCATAAAAGAGAGAGAGAGAGAGAAATCCAAGAAAAGCATGCAGTGGGAGGAGAAGGGAATCATTCCATTGGGCAAACTGCAGTGCTCTCAAATGATTGGAAGACTGTGATTGAATTCCACCCCTAATCACCAATACTCTGCAAGATCAGCATCCTTTTGCAATCTCAGAGACTTAAGTGCTTACCTTAGATGCTTGAGGTGTTGAAATCACATGAACTGTGCTGGGTTTGACGCCGTTTGCTTTGGGTCTCTTATAGAGAGCAAACCTGCTTTTCCTACGCCCCCTATCACCATTAGGGAGGGAGCCATTGTACCTAGGAAGACAAATGCAAAAGTTATTTGAGAGACTGTTTTACGTGTAGTGGAAAAGGAAGCTGAAAATCATAAAGACGGCAGTGAGAGATGCATGGTCTAAGTCAGGCTTCCTCAACCCTTGGCCCTCCAGATGTTTTGAGACTACAGGTCCCATCATCCCTGACCACTGGTCCTGCTAGCTAGGGATCATGGGAGTTGTAGGCCAAAAACATCTGGAGGGCCAAGGCTGAGGAAGCCTGGTCTAAATCATAGATTCCTAAAGTTTGGACTGTGGACCACCTGTGGTATGCATGCAAACTTCATTCAGATGGCTCATGGTATGTTTGTGGGTTTGTGGCTAGGGGATGGGAGATGGCATATCCAGAGTATTAACTATTTATATAGATTTTAAATTGCATTTTTGCTGCTTCTTTTGTTGTATTACAATCTGAATTCTATAAATTTGAAATGGTAATACATGAGAAATAAAACAAGTAATAAAAATGCAATTAAAAATTATACAGGATCCAGCAAAGTACATTACATTTGCTACAGCGGGCAGAAAAATCATTACGTGGTCCACCAAGAGCCTCAGCAATGTTCAATGGCCCATGAAGAACAAGCCTGGGAACCACTGGTCTGCTTCTATGGAAATGGAAGTACTCCTTCCATTTTCAAGCCATTTGTTAAGCTGGTTGGCATTCAGGATCGTACAGACTACTGTTCACAAAGCTTGTTGCTATTCTAAGTACAAGATTTTGCTTAATTCAAGTACTGTGTCTAGTTAAAACAGAGCAGAAGTTGCAGGAGACAGCTAATGCTTGCCAACAAAAGGCTTCAAAATTGCCCAGCCAGCCATACCAATATGAAAGCTCATGACATGCTGATTTAGCCATATCTGTTTAGCTAATCGAAAGCTCATCATGGAATAATGTTTCCAAAATCTCCCACAGGCACTCATCTGTCTGACACCAGCTCAGATATAGCCCAAGAATAACCCAATTTCAAGAGAAATATGACTTTGCTGCTTTGTGCTGAGAACTCCACGCTATAAATTACTTAGAACCAACACTTTGCAGTAGAGTTTTTAAAACCGCACATTCCCTTAGTTCTTGAATAACATTCAGTTTTTATTATGAATTTTAAGCACAGGAGCTGATTTCAATAAGCACAAAACCTTGTTGTTCTTCTTCTTATTATTATTTGAATTTATATACCACCCTAAACCTGGAGGTCTCAGGGCAGTTCACGGAACAAAATCAAAATATAAAACCACAAAATATATAATCAAAATAAAAACAACAACCCAGTAACCCAATATGACTCAAGTCCCCCGTAACAACAAAGTGTAACCTTAGCTATGTAATGATAGAATCCTAACATTCAGTCCTGAAAGGAGTAATTACCAGTGGAAATTCTACATTCATATTTATACACACACCATGTCCCAGCAACAAAACACAAATCGAGCCACTCATTGGAATAAATGGGGCTGCTGAAGCTGGTACATATTACCCGCATGTAAACCATCCTGCCCATCAACAGTCTGCTAGTTTAGCCCTGTCTATTATTATATTCGCACAATTTCATCACTCTTTACTATAGGAAGCGTGTAGACAATTATGTCGCTTTCACTCCCCTTCACTCATCCTACAACCCAGTTCTTACAAAAAACAACAACTGTCAAAACACAGTGATGCTAAATGTAAACACTATTTATGAATTAGCCCTTGCTGTGTCATATTAAAATAAAAAGTAGCCCTAAATTTATCCTCAACTCATAGCCTTGCACACAAATGAACTGTGTTTACACACAGTAAGATGTTCAATGCTTCTTCTTTTTGTCTTTCACTCTGCAGCAGTTATTCAGGGAATGTAGATAAAAAGCTCCACTGCATCAGGCAGAAAAATTATTAAGAGAAACAAGATGATGCATTTAGCACTTAAAGGACCTTCACAGTATTTCCATAAAAGAAGCAAGTTAAACTGAATGGAGTGCTGAAGAACACAACCTAAGAACGTAAGAAGAGCCCTTTAGATCAGGCCAACCAATGACACATCTACAAGCAGGACAAAAGCACTCTGCCGACTTGTGATTCCCAGCAACTGGTATAAAAGAGGAATGCTGCCTCTGACCATGAGGGTAAAGGTAAAGGGACCCCTGACCATTAGGTCCAGTCGTGGCCGACTCCAGGGTTGTGGCGCTCATCTCGCTTTATTGGCCGGTGTACAGCTTCCGGGTCATGTGGCCAGCATGACTAAGCCGCTTCTGGTGAACCAGAGCAGCGCACGGAAACGCCGTTTACCTTCCCGCCGGAGCGGTACCTATTTATCTACTTGCACTTTGCCGTGCTTTTGAACTGCTAGGTTGGCAGGAGCTGGGGCTGAGCAACGGGAGCTCACCCCGTCGTGGGGATTCGAACCGCCGACCTTCTGATCGGCAAGTCCTAGGCTCTGTGGTTTAACCCACAGTGTCACCTGCATCCCTTGACCATGAGGTTAGAACACTGCTATTATGGCTAGTAGTTACTGACAGACTTGTGCTCTGTGATTTTGTCTAAACCTCTTTTAAAGTCACCCGGGTTGGTAGTCATTATGGCCTCCTGTGGGAGGGAGTTCTATAGTCCAAAGTTCATGTGCTGCATGAAGAAGTACCATATTTTTCCGTGTATAAGACTAGGTTTTTTCCCTTAAAAAGAATGTCAAAAATTAGGAGGCGTCTTATACTCTGGGCCACCTCCCCCAGTTTCTTAAATCTGAGTCCCCCAAAATAGGGGCTGTCTTATACATGGGGGCGTCTTATACATGGAAAAATACAGTACTTCATTTTATCTATCTTGAATCCTCCAACATTCGAACAACTGATTCACAGCCATCTTTCATTGCTGCAAATTCCCACTTCATCCATTTCTTAGTGTGTGTGTGTATCCTGCTTTATCGTAAAAGTCAAAGTGGCTAACAAAGCATTTGTTTTTAATCATCAGATAGACCAAGAGACACACAGTGGAAGAATGTAAAATAAATAGTTCTTCAAAGAGGAACTCTTTCCCCACCAAAGGCGTAGTAACTGTAGCCAACTGGACGATGACCAAAGGGTGACTAATACTAAAACATGGACAAGTACAGAGAAATGTAAGTGGAAATATACAAAGAAAGAATGAAAATGTTGTCCCCTGAGGTAATTATCAGACAGCAGTTTCCTACAAGGATTCTGCAGTGACAGTCAAAACAAAATTGGATGGTGGGCCGATGGGGGCACACAGCCCGGGCTGAGAATGTTCCCAAATAAGGAACTATGTAGGCACAGAATCAACATGTATGACCACACCAAAACCATGAAGTAGAACAGAGAATAACCCATACCACAGAGCAGCAAAACAGACTTGACACTAATACCTTCTTAAATAGCCATGGTTCTGACTGTGACATTCAGACTTAAGGCCAGACTGTTTTTTCAATGTGGATGTGCTCCTTCCCAAGAGATTCTTCCCACAACGCTCTGGTAATATGTGGATGGGGTCAAATGAATCATCACTTCCCATTCAAATATTGATGGACTGGGAGAAGACAATATTCAGGGTAGAAAAGAACTATAGGACTGGTCCTAGTCTTGTATTTCCAAGACATGCAAGTCACTATAAAAGTAAAGGTAAAGGGACCCCTGACCATTAGGTCCAGTCGTGACCGACTCTGGGGTTGTGACGCTCATCTCGCTTTATTGGCTGAGGGAGCCGGCGTACAATCATGTGGCCAGCATGACTAAGCTGCTTCTGGCGAACCAGAGCAGCGCACGGAAACGCTGTTTACCTTCCCACCAGAGCGGTACCTATTTATCTACTTGCACTTTGACGTGCTTTCAAACTGCTAGGCTGGCAGGAGCAGGGACCAAGCAACGGGAGCTCACCCCGTTGCGGGGATTCGAACTGCTGACCTTCTGATCAGCAAGTCCTAGGCTCTGTGGTTTAACCCACAGCGCCACCCGCGTCCCTTCACAAGTCACTATAGCAGCATGAGAAAAAAGGCAATGAGATATGGGCTCAAACTATGAAAGTTTTCCACTTGCTTTCCACATACTTTGATGTTGGTCTAGCTATGATTCCCTAAAACAATACAGGACTCAGAATTATACTTAGGCAAAGCAAGTTCCATCTCCTTGGCCCCAACTCCCTTGCCTCAGAAGACACGCTGTTTGGCAATTGCCAGGAAGGAAGGACTGCTTCCATTATCAGCTGAGTGATATCCTGCAATTTAAGACAATCTGGTGGGAGCTGCTGCCTGGTATGACCAGGAAAGGACAATGAAGGCAGGAAATGCTGCATGAATAATCTTAATCCTATAGGGAAACCTTGTAATTTCTGTTACTACACTACAAAATTGAAGAACCTGTGGCCCTCCAGATGTTGCTGGACTTTAATTCCATTAGCCCTGACCATTAGGCTGGATACAATGTTGATGGGCCAACAACATCTAGAGGGTCACAGTTTTCCCATCTCCACTGTGCTAGATTTTAGCATGATTTTACTTTGAGAACATTTCGTAAGCTGCTATGAGAGTGCCTCTTGAGGCTGCAAAGCAGATTAGTATTCTAAATAAAATATCACTTAACTGAGCTATCAAAAACCACTTTGCAAGTAATGCCATTGCTGACGACATTTCACATTCAAAACCAGAAAGGTATGAAACAACAACTCCAGGCATCAACTGGTTAGATAATGCCTTGAGTTGTGAAAAATCATATGAAATCATTTGAATAATTTTTGATTAAAGTAGTTATAGATGGGAAGTCTACAAAAAAACAACAAAAAACAAACCAAAAAACCCAGCAGCCCCTGCAAAATATGCAGGCAGGTTTCAGCTTGCAAAAAGAAAAAAGTCAATCTGATATTTCAACTCAACCCAAAACTGAAGCTTCTGAACATTCCACTTACTGATTAGGACAACATTCTGTAAACTCTGAATTCAGCCCCACACTATAGGTAAATACAGATGTAAGTGAAATACACAAAAGATCCCATAACTAACATTTTAAGCCTACCTTTTTGCTATACCTGTTCTGCTGAAAAGTTAGCACAACCAATCTTTTATATATAGTAGTAATTCTTAATCTGAGCACACTACTTTTTTTTTTTGCAGTAACTGTAGCAATGAAACCACCCCATTTTGAATTCTTCTTACTCCCTAAAGCCCAAGTATTCTCAATTCTACTTAGAGTCTTTATTGACATTGATGTCTTCTTTTTATCAGTACAAGCTACAGATTTTTTTATAAAAAAAGTTGTCTGGAAGGCCTGCAGCTGCTAGCAAGCTTTAACATTTGGTCCTTTGTGGAATGGTTTTAAAAAATAGCAGTACAACAAAACACCCTACTGCTGGCTTTCATATGTCATTAATGTTGGAATGACATCTATCTAGCTTATAATTTAAAGAACTACTAAAAGCGTTTAAGCGTTCAATTATGCAAGGCTTTTAAAATTCACAACCATTTGAGGCTATGCCCAGCTATTTATAGGAAGGGATACTCTGTTCACCATTTCAAAAGATCAAACTCTAGTTTGTTATGCAGCAAATCAGTAATGGAAGGCCATAACATTGTTGTATTGTGTCCATCATTAGTCCCTATATATAAAGATCTATGGCAGCCCAACAAGTTTGGGTGAAACTGTTGTTCTGAGTGAGGTTTAAGCATATGAATAATGTGTCCACACATTCTTAGAAGAGGAACATTAGTATCTTCTGACCCTTTTCTAAACCACCTCCCAATGTGCACACATCACTCTGTAGAAACTTAGGCATGTTCCATTTGCACTGCAGATAGACTTAAATGCATCTGATCAATTACTTTATTGCTATGTGTTCTGTTAAAAGTTGGATTTATAAAATCCCGCTTTTTAAATATGCCCACACTACTATGAAAACTCCTGAGAGGTTTTTAATCACCCCCTGTAGTAATGGGAAATGCCAGTTTATTTATTATAGCTTTTTAAAAACATTATTCTGTCTACAGATTCCAATCAGCAAAATAATGATTGGAGAAAGGAGGTTTTTCACCTGTATGTGATGTTCTTTAAAGGGTCATCTGTGAAGTCACACAGATCGGGATACTGCTCTTATGCTGACTGTCCTTTGCAACCTACCTAGCACTCAAGCTGAGGAGCTAGCACTCAGGCTTCTTCCCTCAAGAGGAAACTTTTCCTCCTCAAGAGGTAGGAAGTTTCTGTTGCATTCCTTCATGACCACCACAGGAATACCCCTTGTAAACATGGGAGGTGCTAGCAACAGAGATGGAGAGTGGGTTTGTGAGTACAACAAAGACTCCTCAGAGGACATCTGTTAAAGACAAGCAAACTGCATTTTCTTCATCAACATCTTTTTGAGAGGCAACATAATACAGGATGGCAACCCTGCAGCGGAAGCCTTGAACAGGAAAACATACTGCTGAGTTTGGCTCTATCACTGACTATATCTGCCACTTTCATGTTCAAAGTGTAGCATTTTACAAGGGGTGGCAGGATGGATCAGGTAGCTTAGTTGCATAGTTGTGGAATAAATATGCCATTGCAAGTAAGGGACAAGAGAAGCAGCCATGCCTCTAAATAACCTTTGAGAATACAGTGGTACCTCTGGTTGCGAACGGGATCCGTTCCGGAGACCCATTCGCAACATGAAAAGCCCGCAACCTGAAGCGCCATATCTGCGCAGGTGCACAGTATGATTTGGTGCTTGTGCGCATGCACGAAGTGTGATTTAGCACTACTGTGCATGCGCGAGCAGCAAAACCCGGAAGTAAACCTTTTCGGTACTTCCAGGTCGCCGCGGGACGCAACCTGAAAAAACGTAACATGAAGTAAACGTAACATGAGGTATGACTGTACATGAGAGATTCTCCTAATACCAGAGGTAATATTTCTGGGTTAGCGGAGTCTGTAACCTGAAGTGTATGTAACCTGAAGCGTATGTAACCCGAGGTACCACTGTACCAGACTTTTAAAAGACATCTGAAGGCAGCCCTGTTTAGGGAAGCTTTTAATGTTTAACAGACTATTGTATTTTAATATTTTGTTGGAAACCGCCCAGAGTGGCTGGGGAAACCCAGCCAGATGGGCGGGGTATAAATAAATTATTATTATTATTATTATTATTATTATTATACAACAGCATTGAGAGCTCATTACCAACTTCTGGCTGGTGCACAAACTATAACCATTACTGGGCAGCGACAGACTTCTCATGGTCATTCATATATTGGTATCCTCATGATCAGACAACTGTAATGATCTATATGTGGAGGTACCCTTGCACCTGATTTAGGAGCTGCAGCAAGTAGAAAATGCAGCTGGTAGACACCCCCAGTTTTACACATTTTACACTGGTGTTGAAAGATTGGCACTGGCTGCATATTAGCTAACAAGTTCAAGGTTTTGTGACTGACAGGATACTCAGGAGCACAAGAAGCTAACTTATACTAAGTTAGACCACTGGATATATCTAGCTGAGTATTGTCTACACTGACCAGCAGCAGCTCTCCAGGGTTTCAGGCAGAGGCTGTCTCCCAGTCCTACCTGGAGATGCTGGGGAATGAACCAGGGGCCTTCTGCAGGCAAAGCAGATGCTCTGCCAATGAGCTGTGTCTAAGAAATAAATTCGTTTCAGAAATTAACACAGCAGGGTTCTAAAAGCATTTCCATAGTCTGAAGAGGGACTATGAATGCACACATCTCTAAGATAAGGCAGATAATTACTGTAGGAAAACACCCTTCTCCGTCACTCTATGCACTGTAGAGAAAAAGAGCAGGGAAGAGGGGATTTAAAACCATTTAACTGAACTACTTTGGCAAGGCTCTGCTCCCACCACAGGAAGCTGTAATCTGAAGAGCTGGTGCTTCCCATCGTGGTTAATTATAAAAGGAAAAGAGACTGTGCAAAAGGCAACTGATAACTGTGGTAAACAATGGAGGCTATTTGTGGAATGAAAAGTAAAAGTCTTGACCACTCCACATCAACAAGGAACGCCAGAGTCTCAGCAACATCCTTCATAAGCATTCACATTTTAAAAACAAAATGATCTGGAACACAGGCTTTGGAGACAAGGCAGTGCACCACTGGCCCATGCAACTGCAGGATGTCGGCATACACACAAGTGTGGGAAACAGATCTCCAATAAAACTCAAGCTCCCTTCACCCCCTTCACACGTGGGTGCTGCTTGCCCGGTGGCCTGAATTGTGCCATTGCATTTTTCAGCATTGATAGTGGAAGTACATGCAGAAGACCTAAGTACAAGAAGCTGTCCGAAGTATCTTCACAGAACTCTGAACTTCACTCACTTCTGCATAGTGACAGCACTGCGCTGTCACTATTTCATCACTTAACCCAGAAAGTGCACCCGGTCCAGACAGGGCAACTGGCACGTGCATCAGATTCTTCCCATGAAAATCAAGCAGCCACCAGAAAGAACCATGCTCACAAATGGTAACATTCTATGTTTAATTCAAACCCTGGTGTTATGGACTGGGTGGGGGAAATGGGAGGGTTTGAGTATCATAAGCAAACAAATTCTCAGCAGCTTTCAATACCATTGACCATGATATTATTCAGCCTGCTCTAGTTGGGGTCACAAGCCCTATGACAGAGAGGGTCTGTAGTTTAGGGTTCCTCCTGGATCCATAATAATAATAATAATAATAATAATAATAATAATAATAATAATTTATTATTTATACCTTGCCCATCTGGCTGGGTTTCCCCAGCCACTCTGGGCAGCTTCCAACAAAAGATTAAAATACATGAATCCACTGCTTTTACCTGGGGGACACAAAGTACATTCCATCAGTTTAGGCTGATGACCCAACTACAACACTATCTGGGTAAGGATTTCTGACAGCAGTAATCTGTGTTATGGTAACGTAATGATTGGATTACTGCAGGGTGCTTTACGTGAGGCTGCCTTTGAAGACTGTCCAGAAACTGCAGCTAGTACAGAATGCAACCACCCAACTGCCAAGTCTCTAGGCAAGCCAAATATAACACTGACCCTGCCACAGCTGCACTGGATGCATGCCTATTTTCAGGTCCAGTCCAAAGTGATGGTTTTGACCTATAAAACCTTGTAAAGCTCAGTATTCCAAAATGCATCTTCTGATATGAACCTACCAAGGCCCTTTAGTCTTCAGCCGAGGGAAGTGTAGAAGATGGCAAAAGAGAGAGAGGGCCTTTTCAGTTGTAGCTCCCCTCTTGCGCACCATAATTAACATCCTTCAGGTATCAGGTAAAATACAGTGGTACCTCGTGTTATGTACTTAATCCGTTCTGAAACTGCTCGTAACATGAGGCATGCTTTCTCTAATGGCGCCTCCCTCTGCTGCCGCGCCGCCGGAGTGCAACTTCCGCTAGCATCCCGGGGCAAAGGTCGCAACAAGGGGCATCTATATGGTATTGTATTGTTCTTTTTCGTTGTTTTACATTCCTCTAATTGTGCAAGTTCCCTGGAAAAGTCCCTGATGTTGGGAAAGATGGAGGGCACAAGGAGAAGGGGACGACAGAGGATGAGATGGTTGGATAGTGTTCTCGAAGCTACCAGCATGAGTTTGACCAAACTGCGGGAGGCAGCGGAAGACAGAAGTGCCTGGCGTGCTCTGGTCCATGGGGTCACGAAGAGTCGGACACGACTAAACGACTAAACAACAACAACAATTGTGCAAGTGACTTGGAGAGTCTATATGCAGTAAGCGACTTCTAAACTGAATAAATAAACTACTTTGTAAACTGCTTTGAGGGTTGTTGTTGTTTACAATCAAGCAGTGCATAACTTCTGTGAAATAAATAAATAAATAAATGCCAACAACGGCAAACAACAACTTAGTAAATAGAAGGCAGCTCCATTCAGAGGAATTATTGAACCAACAAGCAAGCTCGTGTCCTGCCTTAATTTGGAATCATTACACAATGGTGGCCCCTTTGATGAGGATGATCACCATTCCTACTAAACCATGACTGCCCATGATGGTGTTTATCTAGTTTATGCTGTTTTTAATAATAATTTTAATAATATTAACAATAACAAAAAGATAGGAGAGGGGTTGGAACTTGAACCCACCTTTCCTAGTTGCTGAGGTACAATTCAAGCTGTGGTTTTAACTTGAAGGCCTAAGAAACTTGAAGCCTGAACAGTCAGTCATCTATTCCTTCATCATTATCTCTGCTTAGGGAAATCCAAAACCACAAGGGCGGGCGAGCAAGTTGGGAAACATCAGAGTCCAGGCATGTGAATGTTACAGGTATAAACCGTGGAAAAAGACGCCCAGCTTCTAGTGTCTTGTCACACGCAGGTCTCAGACACAGATCTTTTACTGCCTCATATTACATTTTCCCATAGCTTCAAATACGGGGTATCATTCACTAGACTATACTGAGTCTTCAGAAGGTGAGATGAGGAACAGTCCTGATTATAATCTCTCACTTTATGAGTGCAACATACAAATGGTGCATACCAAAAAAAGGAGCACTCAAGGTTCACGGCCCCAACTCTAAACCATTTCCCCCCAAAGCTTAGTTGAACCTGAACCTTAGCCTGATTACCTTCTGGGCAATACAGTATCTTGTGGTATGCATTTAACTGCCAGGAATGTTTACATCATGATTTGCATTTGCGCTTCCTCCTCCACCACCAATATTTACTGTGTTTACATCTTAGAGGGATTGGAAAACAATGAAAAGATCTTCATAATAAGCGCCTGTGGAAATAAAAAGGCTGCATGAAGTGTCTTTAAACTCAGTGCCTGCTCCCAAGGAAGCCATTGGTTTCCCTATCTGACTGCTCTGCTGTAGCCACAAACTAATCTGAGCACCCAGGAGGCTACATTTTAGGCAACTCGTTGAAAACAAAAACCTTGAAGCCTGACAGTATGATATGGTTGGAAACACCAGCCCACCTTGCTCAGTTTTATCTGATGCCATTCTCAAGCTAACGGTTTCCATTAATTACAATATTATATCTCAGTCGGGAAGTAAAGGTAGCATGCACAGCTGAGCCCTTATTAGCAGGAACTGTAGATTAGGGAAGGATAGGTTTCCCACCCTGTTTTATTTCTAAGTATTAATTCTAATTAATGCAGTATTAATTGTAAGAGCAATTAAGTAAATGAAGTATTTGTGCAACTGTAAACACAAGCAGCAACTTCATTTTGCATACCAGATGGAATATACACAACAGATAATCACCAATCACTGATGCTATATAACCTCAAAACATCCTCCATTCATATCAGAGTGGGCTTGAAAGTCCTTGGAGACTTAACTGCCACAGTGTCTGCTGCCTATAGATTTGCTGAGGTGAAGAAACTTGTTAGCCGTGTGAAATTGTGTCCAACACTAAAACTTAAGTTCTGGGTTGCTGTAGGGCAGCATTTTAAACAGGTCAGGCACCAGTCACATTTTACAACTGGCAACCGGCCTTTTGGAAGGATGTGGAGATGTCCGGGTGCAAGGTTTGATACCTAATTTCTCCACCTGGCTCCACGTGTGCCTTTTCATGTTGAGCAAACATTCCGTTTTGGCACCCAAAACCCAGGTTCCAGGTACCTTGTGGCCAAACAGCTTTCCTATCCCAGTTTTCTCACACTGCTATAGGGAAGATCTAACGCCTAATTCATTATTTTTGCCCTTTTATAAGCTTTTACGCAAAGGAAGAAGGAATGCCACACTCAAGTGATGCATTACTTACCTTCTCCTTTGGATATGTATATATTCATTGCTGCTACTGCTTCACAACTCTTCTCGTGCTGCAGAGAGGGCTGTCTACTTTGTCTCCCACCGTGAACAAAGCATTTTTATCCAGTCAAATTTGGGGAGGGGGGAGCTTTATTCATTTAAATCAGCATTCTGAAATCTCAAGGACGGGATGAGGAAATGTGAGAGGGAATAGATGGTTTCCTAACTGCTTATTGTGATGGACAATCTGCACTGTGCAGTCTCTTCAGCCCCAAACAGGAAGAACAGTTTCCCACTCCAGCTACATCTGACAAAAAAACTGTAGGTCAGTCCAAAATGCAGGAAGAGTGCTTCCACAGCAAGCTCACCATTGAAAGAATATCTGGGTCTATCCAGAAGGACATATAATACATAATGAAACACAACTTTTAAAAAGTAGAAGCAAGTTTTTAAAATTAGAAGACTAAGTGTAAGTTAATTTATATATTCAGAGGACAATCTTACTGAGTATAAAGTAATTTAGTTTAATGAGCAAAAGCTATTACTTGTTGTAAATAAAATACAGTCACACTTGGGGGGTATTCAGGATGGAAAAACTGAATATTCCAGTAACACACCAGAGCTAAAATAGCTTCAGAAAAGTTGGAGATTCTTTACTATGGTAAACAATATTTCAAGTTCAACTGGGCGCTATTAATGTGAGCTACCCGTGTTGGTTCTTTGCATTAGAAATGAAAATCATACAATGTGTCCAATGGAAAGATAAATCATCTAGGTTTTTCATCTAGCATAGAGAAGAGAGGACAAATACGTCTGCGAAGCTCTCCACTTCAAGTCACATAAAACAGGCAGTAGAGAGGAACCCAAGATGGCTCAGAACACCTTGCTCATTTCCCCAGGAAATGCACAACTCACCCACCCAACACAACTCTCTTAAGGCCACCTGACCCATAATTTTTGCTGTGGGAGGGAGCTTGGTTTATGCATGCAGAAGGTCCTAGGTTCAAACCTCAGTTAACAAATAATATAATCCAATAGAAGGTAGTTTCCTATGGCACTGACCACAATATTATCAAGCTCTGTGTGGCACACCTAGAATTTTGCCACTGTCATCTCCTAGCCATCTGCAGTTGCTCCATATCTATTACATGATCAACCATCTCTACCTTCCCCAACTCTAGACTGACGCACTGATTTCCTCAGCCAATCTCCACAAAGGCACTTCATGTATTTACCCCTCACTAGGCCAATGAGCTCCACCCCATCTGTTTCAGTAGCTCAGAAAGGCGCATGAAAGAGCAGGTAGCAAGCATTCTGAGCACCAGGAAGCCTCAATAGCCATAGCCAGACGCAAGGTGCTAAAGACAGTCAACCTGAAATCAGCCTGCAATCCATGTTCTGCCCACCCACTTTTTGAATGAGTTGTTCCTCAATGTAAGCAGTTTTCCTCCCACAAGCCTTTCTGGGGCTTTGAAAAACAAGCACGATTACATATTCATTGTGTTTAATGAACAAGCCTCGAGGCCCTTTTTCTTCTGTATTCAAGAACAAGGTTCCTTCAACTGCCTTTCCGCCACCACGCTCTTAGCAGTACTGTAAAACTGGTGCACTTTCTGGTGCTACAAGCACCAGATCATCTGTGTAATCCCAAAAGACCTCCACAAATTTGATCACTGAGAGCAATAGCCTCTGGCCAGGATGCCAAGCAAATTCCTTGCCCTCAATTCCCCATGAAACGAAGAGAATATGGGCAGGGGAATCTCATGCCACACTGGGCATGCAGAAAATGCAGAAGATTATGTCAGCTCAAAACTTCAGCACATTGTGAAAGGTGGGCAAGGGATCTCCCCAGCTTTGGAAAAGCAGAAGCGGCAAAACAGACATAATAGATTGCCAAGAATATCCAAGGGAGTTTGTGGTTGCCAGCTCCCTATGCTTTTAAAAGACAAAAATTCAGCCGGTGAAACTTTTTCCATATTGTATCTCCAGAAATCTTCAGCTGTTGTATTTCTCCTTTTCAAAAAGAATAGAAGTCTGTCTGGAATAGAAGCTTCTCATCCCTATTTAGGGTGCTTTCAAGTTGCTTTCAACAATACGGCTCTCATTCCTGAGGGTATCCGAAAAGATGACTGTGCACCGCAGAAGCATTAATGGACTAGGACACAGCCATTCTTTGCTCCAAGGAATATTGCATCACACACTCTTACAGATTAGAAAGCAGTGATAACTTTTCTTATGAGAGGGCTTGCAAAAAAAAAAAAATCCCCTTTGAACTTTGAGAAGAAAAAAATCCACAGCTACTGGGTTCAAAAAATTTCCATCACATGATATGCTTCTTAGACTTAACAGTAATCTCTTAGACCAACTATGCCCAAAGGTTTACTAAGTCCACAAACACAATTTTGCCTTTGTTTTGGGCTTTGCTGGTAGTTTCAAACTCTGCCCTTGGAAATAAACCCTCACTCACCCTCTGTATGGCATGAGACAAAAAAAAGATGCAGCACATGTTCCATGTTTCTGTGTAAGCACAAAATGGTGACTACAGAACTGGTAGAAATGTAATGTATTTCATTTCTCAGCTTTCTTTTTTAAGAAGTATTTTAGCCCTTATAGTTACAAATATATGTTTAAAACTTGTGCGGGCAAAATGATTGTGACTGCAAAAAACAACAACACACCTATGAAAACACCACTACAGTGGTACCTCAGGTTACATATGCTTCAGGTTACATACGCTTCAGGTTACAGACTCCGCTAACCCAGAAATAGTACCTCGGGTTAAGAACTTTGCTTCAGGATGAGAACAGAAATTGTGCTCTGGCAGTGCGGTGGCAGCAGGAGGCCCCATTAGCTAAAGTAGTGCTTCAGGTTAAGAACAGTTTCAGTTAAGAACGGCACTCCAGAACGAATTAAGTACTTAACCCGAGGTACCACTGTATTAAAGAGACACACAAAAATAAGAGACCCTGAAAATAAATATAATGCAAAGCAAAACTACACCCCTAAAACCTCCATCTATATGTTACACGAAAGATCCAGAATTTGATCTACCAACTTCTTTTTAGTGAAATGCAGTAATGGGGTTGCCAATTTGATTAGACATAGTGCTGTGTGAAAGGTGTTCAATACTTCCCCATTTCCTAACATGGTTTTCAGAGTCAAAGGTCGCACACCTCAGCTACTGTTCTGCCCCAAGGAACAAGGACAAGCATCCACACAGCCACTCTCTGTGAAGAAGGACACCTGACACCACACAGATCCCTATATTTGAGGCCTCATTTCATTACAGTTTTTAAACTGGTGAGAAACAGCAGGAGCCCCCTCAAAGCAAGGAGAGACTCCTGCTGTTTCTTAATGTCAACCAAACACAACAAGTGCCTAGTAAGCTAAGCCAACATTTTTGGACATCTTTTAAAAGATAACAGTATTTACCCCCACAAGACAAATGACAGCATGAGGATGATTTTGATTGGGGTCAAAAAAATGAGCAGAAAGGGGTGGAAACACCCTCTTCCAGCACCTTAGTTCTTACCAAACATGGCTTTTTATTTTAAAAACAAGCATCGGGTAATCAGCATGGTTGTTTTGTGTATTATTCTTTATTTCTTATTTATAGTTTTTATCTTACTGGAAAAGGAATCTGTCTCAAATACTCTGAAAGGGTTCAGGACAGCCCAGTCAGATGGGAGGCATTAATAATAAGTGTGTTGTTGTTGTTGTTGCTGCTGCTGTTGTTATCTGGCCCTCATTCAGCCCACCACTGGCCCAGGGCTTGCATGGCTTCTCTCAATTCAGATATTCCAGAGAAATAGAGCTCAGTATCATCAGCACTCTAGTGACACATCTCCCTGAATCTCATAATGGCCACTCCTACCAATTTCATGTAGATTGGTGCCACTATAAAACCATGGCTAGGCTATGTTCAGGTGAAGAATAAATGGAAGCAGGGTGTAGCAAAAAAAGGCCACCCACCGAAGCATTAATACACACAACAAACACCCTAAACAAACAAACAAACAAACAAACAAACAGAACATGTTAATGGGCTTTCACACTAGCAGCTTCTGAAGATGAAAAAACCCCTTGTGCTTGTCAAATTTTCCTCAGTAGGGGAAAAGCTGGGTTGGCTGTTAAATAAAGTATGGGCTGGCATTTAGATGATTATGAGATCCTGTGGACAGTGCAAAAACTTCCAAGCACCAGAAGCACACAATTCCACAATAAACTCATGTCTGGAAGTTTCCTAAGCAAGCAGGTCTTTCCCTGCCTTCCTGCTAAAGCAGAAAGCTGGGAAGGGCTGCCACCTCAGCCTTGCGCCAGGAGGCAAAGACAACCATGGGAGCCACTGCTGGAGGGTTAGAGAAGGCAGAAGTCCTGCCAAATGATCAAAACACCTGCTGTATTTCCAGCAGCTGCACGCTGGGACTTGGCACCACTGTATCAATCTGTACACCTGCCTTTAAAAGTTCTTTCCCACTAAAAAGGGCCCATAATCCTTAAGGTGGAGGAAAGACAGAGGAAATGGAGAGGCATGCAGACAGACAGACACAGTCCTAGGTTTTACTCTCAGAAGCAAAAAAGAATAAAGATGACACCAAAACAGAAAAAATGGGGGGGGGACTTCTAAGGTACACTGAATATTATTTATTTAGCCCATATGCATGGCTTTAATCCCCTTCCCCTACTGAATCTAGAGTTCACACCCTGAGGATCTAAGCCAGAGGTGGGGGAATCTGACCTGCCCCACCCAACATGGGTCATTTTGACAGGACGCCCACCTGTCAATCATGTAGTGCCACAATCTATTAGGTGATGCCAGAATACATTTTTTTTTTCAGATGCAGGCACACCTCAAACCACACTTTTGCATAACCTCCTTGAATTTGAGCTGGTGATAAAAAGGAATATTTGTGCTTACAGCAAGCCCCACTGTGGGAAGGGATCAGCTTCCCTATGGAGTTCCTGAGCAGGACTCCTGTAGCACAGCAAATCCCTCCAGAGCTTACTGCAAGTCTCATTGGCACTGACAGCAATCCTCACTTGCCAAGGAACAATCAAGAGCACATTTTGAGAGTCCCAATTGTTATCTTACAATCATCCCCAAACCCGGCTTTACATGTGACAGGCATGGAGCAGGCAGCGAGGTTTGGAGACAACAATTCCTCTTCAGTTCTTTGTAAATTAGGAGGACATAAGGCCCCCATCCACAGGGACACCGGGGCAGGGCATATGCACCCCCTACACAATTTGAGTCCTCATATTTTTCTCTTGACACGAGAAGAGAGCTAAAGATATTGGGCATTATTATATATCAGTAGACATGAAATGTCCTGAAGTAATCCTGGAAAACTTACTAAGTTATATGAGCAACATACGAACTCAGTAATTTTTAGGTCTGCTGAAAAACTTTCCTCTTACAGTACATTTTGGAAGCCTCAAATCCTTTCAGAACATGAAACTCAGGTTATGCTCTTTTTGGCTTGAGGCAGAGCAGGGAGAAAGTGTGACATTCTACTCCAGTTATTGCATTAGTAATTCAATACAGACAACAGGCCAGAAACCTAATGTGGTTACGGCTCATGAGTTCCCAAACCTAGGGGAAAATAGGTAGCAGAGACCAGAAGACCCACTCTATCTTGTCTCACTCTATCCACCTTGCACATCTTTCCCATCCCTCTCACATCTACACACCCCGCCATAGGAAACCACATACACAATGGCAGAAAGGAAGATAAAGGGGGTTGGGGGTGGAGGAAAGGCCTGCCTACCTGCAAGGAAGGAATGTCAACTTTTTTCTAAATTAAGCTGAATTAAGATGAAAGCTAACAAAACTTTTTTTCCTCTTAGGGGGCTCACTATGGCAAGGTAAGTGAAGAAAAACCAACCACATGGTTTTAAAAACAGCTGAGAAACTTTCCACTATGTATATGAATTGCAAAATTTATGCTCATAGTTTGCTGTTATCAGAAGTCACTAGCTGATTAGCATTATCAGAAAGGTCTACAGTGCATATTTTACTATCATATTTAATTTTACTTAAGCAGCAGCTAAGTTTGACTTTTCTTGGTAGGTGACTACAATTTGTTTATTTAACAAAATTTGTATACTGCTTAACTGTAATGAAAACCTCTAAGCAGTTTACATAAAACGTGCATTAGAAATGTCAGGAAAACCAATGTTAAAAGCAAGTAATAAAAAGCATAATGATTAAGATATAGTGCTAAAAGTATAACCTAAAATTACAGATTAAAACACACATCAGTTCCACACATCTGGAGTACAATGAGGTGTATACTAAATTCACAAATCAGGTAGAACAACTACTCATATGCAATGCTGCCCAAGGCAGCTACTACAGTAGTAATGTCTAACTCAGTTACTGCATAAACCAAGAGAGCAGTAGAAATGTATTATGCAGTTCTATCAAAGATAAGGCAGAGAAATCATTCGGGTCCTTTGAGCATCTCAACAAGTTAGGAAAGAGCTCACCAATGAGTTGCCTTGAAGGTATATACTTATCTGTGTGGTGTAGTATATAATACAGTTGTACCTTGGTTCTTGAACAGAATGCATTCCGGGAGTTCGCCGGATGTTCGGCTTCTGAAAATCGTTCAAAAACCGGAACACTCACTTCCGGGTTTCGATCGTTCAGGAGCCAATTTGTTTGAGATCCAAGGTACAACTGTATCCCCATTTGTACTGAAGAATAATGGAAAACTCACTTTGAAGTTTGAAGCCAAGAACAAACCCTGGCTACAGCTTGTCATTACTTTGATGCAACCCAGAGTATGGAACACATACAATGCTAAGAACAAACCATGACTTTGTGCAGCAGCAGGAGGATTGAGGGAGGAGTAAAGTGGATGTGACTTTCTTACTGTTCACTTGCTCCTTCATGCTAAATCATACTTTAGCTTAGCATTGTGTGCCAACCAGGCCATTGCTATACGTAATAAAATTAAACTTAAAGAGGAGAAGTCCACAAATATCTAAGTGTAACAGAGTTGCAAGGAACTTTTCAGACGGGCTGGGCCGATTGCAAATTTCAGTGAAGCCTCTGGGACTCCTCCTATCCAAAATACAGCCTCAGGGCTACAACTTGTAGAAGGCTGTTCAAGCCAAGTGTGTGTGAAAACAATGCTGTCATTTTCTGCCCAGAGGCAATGTTCAGTTTAAATCCATTCTCAGATCTCTTCAAAAATTCTAAATCACAGTTCAAGAGGAGTGAACTGCTAGAATAATGTTTAAATTTAAAAGGCTCTGTTTCATTTAATATTTATTTTCCCTAGTGCAGCCACATCAGGGTAAAAGTCTGGCAATTTAAGTTCAGATAAGCTACAGCAAAGGAAGCAAAGGCAAATAAGACATGTGCAGCACAATCCTATGGTCTTCTGTGGTGCAATGGGTCAGTGTGTCTGGCTCTTAACCAGAAGATTGGTGGTTCAAGCCCACCCAGGGATGGCTGTGGGCAGGATTCCTGCACTGCAGGGGGTTGGACTAGATGATCCTCAGATCCCTTCTAGCTCTACAATTCTATGGTTCTATGTATGTTTACTCTGAAGTAAATTCCGTTTTTGAAATAAAATTAATTTTCCAGGTAACTTTACAAAGGTATAGTCTGCATTTAGCCAGGAGCAAGTCCATAGTGAGTTCAATGTAATCCTCTACATGTCCACTGAGAAGAAAATCTGGGATCATGCCCAGAATGATTCTTATTACCATTAAAAAAAAAAATTCAAAGCTGTGGTGTTGCATTATGGACCCCACTTTTCCCTTCTAGGACACAGGACTGGTAAAAAAGGGCAAGTCATTGACAGATTCATTTATGGGCCCAAGAAAGAAAATAAGAACCAGACCATGCTTGGGGAAAAAACCTAAACCATTTTTGTCTGCTCAGGGTCAGTTCTCACTTTTTTAAAAAAAGATAAATTCTTACAAGGCGCATTATGATCTAAAAGCAATTTATTGTGTCATGCCAGAAGTATAATACACACATACTATTATTACATCTGTCTCTGAGCAAAAAGAACCTTGAGAGCAAAAAGTCCTGCCATACACATAGATTCTTTTCTTGGAATCAGCTGGAGGTCTTGCAATTCCCATCTATCCTCAGACTGACTGATGTAAATGTACCCTATTTCTTAAACTAAATAACTTGAGAAGCAAATCCTGAGCAGGGAGAAGAGGAGCTCTTTCAAAACATCCAAGTAGACTGAATATTTTGTCACTGCAGATGGGGGAGAGACAGGAAGTGCGGCTAGTCAGCATATCTGAAGTATCTGCATTCTTTACTAAGACCTTAAGTGTAAATGTCTTTGAAACCACAACCAAATAGTACTTTCCTGCAGCATACCAGCTTTCTGGTTTTGGCATACAAACTATAGGGGGTATTTTTAGGAGGGGGAGGGCACAGGTGGTAGATGAAACCAAACAGGAGACTGATTCGATGGCCTCTGTTCTCTTTCCAGATCAATTAATCAGACTCGCAGAAGCAAAGAGGAAGTAGAATGTCTCAGTGTTGGGGGGGGGGGTGAAAAGAGAGAACAGTTAGCTATTACTATTAGGAAGGACATTACCAGCACCACAAAATTGCACTCCCACTGACCCGGGAATAAAACCATCATACTGTCAAGTCAGCCAGTCAAGGTTTCATCACATGGCTGCCTTGTATGAATACATGCAAATGTACTGAATAGGTAACAACACTGCACAAATAAAATAAGAACACCTGTGTTTTTAATGAGTTTCATCAAAGATGCAAGTAGTACAATAAATGCTAGGGAGAAAACAATGGACTAAACAAAGAAATAAACTAAAAACGAAATACAGACAACTCAGTTGGATAATACAGGTGTTTGACCTGCAGGAAAACAGAGCTTTGCCTCTGTTAGTGACCTATCCAGTCAGTAAAAATGCACCGTGTAACAGTTCAATAAAACACTAATTTCTATCAACACCTACTGCTCCCAAGCATCTTCATGAACGTACTCACACAAACCCAACCCATCAATACAGACTTATTCATTTATATTCATTCACTATATAGATTTTCTTTTCCTTCAGAAAACTTCATACAGAAAAGAAAAGAAACCATAAATAGCAAAAGTAGACCACGATCCACTAGAAATAAGAATTCCAAAATCCACAGCTGGGCAAAGCTTTTATGGGTCTACCTTCATATGTTATAGCTTCTCAGCTCCAGGCTGAGAAGAATAATTAAGAATATTTCTTACCCCTGAAGACCTATTTATTTATTTATTTGCATCTTCGTTACATTTGTATCCTGCCTATCAACCAAAAGGGAGTTAAAACATCAGCAATAACAAGAACACAAGTTAAAGAACAATTTCAACACAGCAGTCCAGAAGGCAGTGAGGAAAGGGAAAACAAAAGGTGAGGTGTTAGCAGCAACATAGAATTATCTTTCGGCATCCTGACTGGTGCTGGTGTTAGGGATTGTGTCCAGGTATGGCAAGCATGACTGGCAGACTGTGCAGTAATGTGCAGTGGCACTGGACTCTAGTGGGCATGTTTCAGTTCTTCCATTATGATGTTTAACTTTGTAATTTTAGGCGGAGGAGTGGGCAAGATGGTGCTGGCTGAGCACAGGATACTGAATAGCTGGTACAGTGGTACCTCTGGTTACGCACGCTTCTGTTTACGCACATTTTGGGTTATGAGCTCCACTAACCCGGAAGTAGTTGCTCCCGGTTGAGAACTTTGCCCCGGGATGCGAGTGGAAGTCGCACGCCGGAGGCGCACTTTCACTAATGGCACCTCAGGATAAGAACCGTTTCAACTTAAGAACGGACCTCCGGAACGAATTACCGTATTTTTTGCACCATAACACTCACTTTTTTCCTCCTAGAAAGTAAGGGGAAATGTCTGTGCGTGTTATGGAGCGAATGCCTGCGGGTGGCGTGGGGGATCTGCTGCAGTCGTGAGCAGAGGATCCATGGTTCCCCTTCCTTCCCTCCTCCGTGGTTACAAAGCATGGATCCACATGGATCCTCAGGATTTTTGCATTGGGCTACTCACTGTCAGATCACATGTCTGTGGCCACAGCATGAACCACAAAAATCATATATCCACTATTTCGTTTAGAATATTTTTTTTTCTTGTTTTCCTCCTCTAAAAACTACGTGCGTGTTATGGTCTGGTGCGTGTTATAGAGCGAAAAATACCGTAAGTTCATAACCAGAGGTACCACTGTACTAATGTAACCAGGGGCACAACAATTCCCATTTTAGCTGGAATGTAGCTCTAAGGCAGATTATAAATCCCTTGAAATACATGTGCGCTGCATCAAAGTATTACACCTGAGGAACAAAGTCAATCCTAAGGAGAAGCTTTTCAAGTGCCCTTTTAATATACTGTATCTTCCATAAAAATTGATTATTTGAAGAGGACAGGATGCAGAGTGCTATGGCAGTTTGAAAGTGTGTTTGTCACCTAAATATTTCAGTATCCTCAAAGTATGAGAACTCTTTCAGAGCAATAGGCCACCATCAGTACCTTTAGCTCTCCCCCTCCCTTTTTCTTTTTCTAAAAGCAAAGCACCTAAAGGTATGCAGTCTATTTTAAACATTTATATATACTACAGAGGCAAACTATTAGTTGCTGCTTACTTATTTTATTGCATTTACATACTGCCTTTCTGCTGAGGAACCCAAGGTGGTTTACAATTAAAATGTTAAACAAACAAATGGTACAAAACATTTTGAGGCTGACTTCAGGAGCTGATGTCCAGGCCTGAGCTTCTTTTCTGCCTTCCCTTACGGCAGAGAAACCTGGGCTTCCATGCTTCTGTTACTTATACAGTGGTACCTCGGATTACATACGCTTCAGGTTACGTACACTTCAGGCTACAGACTCTGCTAACCCAGAAATAGCACCTCGGGTTAAGAACTTTGCTTCAGGTTGAGAACAGAAATCATGCTCCGGCGGCGCGGCAGCAGCAGGAGGCCCCATTAGCTGAAGTGGTGCTTCAGGTTAAGATCAGTTTCAGGTTAAGAACGGACCTCCGGAACGAATTAAGTACGTAACCAGAGGTACCCCTGTACATCCTACTGACTTTAAACCAGTGATTACTATATGAGGACAGAGATTGCTTTGCATCAGCAACATCATGCCAGAAGTAAAATTAAGCATGCACACTCAAACAGCAATCTTAAACTCACCACCCATTTTGATTCTTGCACCCTGTACTTATAAAAATGCTTTTCCATCCTTCTCAAGGATAAGCAAGGGGAAATAGATCCACATTTAAAGGCAAACCTACCTAATTCACACATTCTGAAACCATACAGAAACTGAAACAGTCATCCTTTGAAATTTCCACTCCTTCTCCAAATCTTGCAATGCAGTTCTCCAACCAAGTAATGCATACAAAAATATAGTGAGGTAAAGTGTGCATAAAATGCATTTAATTATTTTAAAAATAATTTTTTAAAATGGCATTTTATTGGGAGGGCAATTGCTTTGCAAACATATGTATATTATGACAAATTTGCATGAAAAAGCTGGTGAAATTTCATGACTTTTTTTTTTAAGCAAACTGATGTGAAAGTGTGTATAACTGAACTTAAGATTGGAAAAATGAGAAACTGAGAGAAACCAAACTGGACAGATTCAACCATCCTTAATACTTACTAAAATCAAGTATTCAACTGACACTGTGTGCTTTGTCAGAAGCATTTTAAAAGTCTTAGTACCTTGCAAAAGACTTCTGAGTAACTTTAACAGTTATGGAACAAAAGAAGTCCTCCTGTGGTTAAGAAACAGGAAACACAGAGTAGGAAAAAAATCAACAGTTCAGTGCTATCCCTAGGGATTGATACTGGTGCCTGTGCCTATTCAGCCAAAGTTATATATGTTTTAGAAACGTGCATGAACACACATATAGTACATGGATACAGACTTGCTGACTGGCTAAGTCTCTTGCACTTCCTAGGTTTCATATCTGAGGCAGGCTGCTCTGCTTCCCAATTAGTGGACCAATGTATTATATATATTAGGAATAGGCAACTCTGCTGGATATTCTTACAAATCACAAAGATGGTCCTTCTCAACTAGTTGTTTTACTGGTCTGGCTTAATTTACAGGAGCATGCATTTTCTTCATCACAGTATTAGCCACATAAAAGTATACAAGAAAGCCTTTCCCACACATTTACTACCACATTACTTATATTTACAAAGAATTCAAGCTAGGCTACTGGGGAAAGGTCATTAAAATGCATTTACAGCAGCAATAACATGCTATTTTTGGCAAGTGTGCACAGTTCTTCCAGCACAATTAATTTTTCCCAAGTTTGCATTTGTACAGAGAACTATCCCTATACAGACATGTCTGAATGTGAAGCAGTCACTGAAGGGTAGAGATAACTCAATCAGACAGAAGGTCCGAAATTATTTCATTTAGTATTACTAATGACTCACTTCAGTCTTCTTATATTTTTAAAGTTACTTCTTTGCTATGTAAGGGAAATTAGCTAGTTTTATTTGTTTCTTTGCTTGTTTGTTTATTATTAAACAGATCAGTTTACTATATCTACAGTTCAGCAATTGTCACAACAAGACGCACTGTTATGATTACATTAACACCTCTAAACCACAAACCATTCAAGTTATTTCTAATCCTCCAAGGATGTGATTATCTCATTCAAAACCTTGTTACCTGGAGTTCTTCATTTTAAGGCACTGGTAATAGCATAAGATTACACAAAGATTACTTATTCTGTATTTTTTTTAAAGAATGCTGAACAGATGTTCAAGCTGTTCTGTGATTATTTCCTACTAATGATCCAATTCTGGGGGAAAAATAGCAAAATGCTATTTGTAGCACTGTACTGAATGATTAAGCATCTTGAAAAAAGAAGAGAGGAAGATGTTTCGAGTAAAACAACAACTTAAAATCTCCTCTTCTTTTTCCAAAATAGACTACTATAAATTGGTTCAGGCTCAAGCAGAAAACCTCACCCTCAATCTGCTCAACAGATTTTTGTTGTCCAGATATTCTAGCCCTAATGGCACTTTGTGTTTCAAAACGTGTTTTGCTACAATCCAGCCAGGAAAGGATTAGATGTATCACTGGCATAGCTAAAGAACTGCTTCAGTAAAAAGCATAAATCTTCTTTAATATCAGTGTTATTAATATTGGTGGCTGGTACTTTTATAAAATAATTAAAATTGTGTATCAGTTACGTAGATATAGTTTAAAATCTCAAATGCTTCACAACACACAGCTGGGGGAGGTGGGCTTTCGGGGGGGGGGGCACACAACACAAACCCCTAAATCCAACACTGCAGACTACTGAGAAAGGGGCCACACATTGTTTTTATTATTTCACACTGCAGTAAAATACAGCTACAGGATACATTTGTTCATAGAAAGCAATCAGTAAGAATATCCCTTAACAAACGTTTTGAAACTAAACCAAAGTTCAAATTGCAACCAAAGTGTCCTGCACCTCTGTACTTTCAATTACTATTAAAAACCACAACAGCTAATTCCTTTCCATTCCAGCTGTGACCAAGCAAGCAGCTGCAGCACAAAACGAATCTGTCCTACCTAATTAAATTAAGAATTTGACATTAAATGGGAGTTCCAGAAATGACACAACCTGAACAGAACAGCTGAGGTTCCCCCTCTGCTTTCAGCATGCCACCACTCCAAGTAAACCACTCTCTGCTGTTAGCAACTTAACATGGATTTTTCCACCTGAAACTGCTGAGATAAACAGCTTTGCCACATCTCAAGCCTTTCAAGTATTTGAAGTCGTGTTACATTTTCACAGCGATTGCTAAAATAATCCATTCCTTAGTAACCAGATTTTGACAGATTCCTTGTGCTGCCAAACACAGAATAGTGTTAAGAAACTCACACCACAGGCTACAAAGGTTTACCAAGAACAGAAGGCTAAAGTAAGAGCAGTTTTCTGCTGCTGGCTTTGTTTCAAGCCCACTGATCCTGTATCCTTTCGGATATGTCCAAAAACAGCTAATGCTTACTGGAGTGTACTCCAGAGCCTTATTTCATAGACGGGGTGGGTTTTCCATGCAGAGGACTATGCCTCACGGAGTGTTTCATGCTTTGTTTATTCGATCAAACAAGTTTACTTGCCCGCTGTACATCATATGCACGCTCGGCTATCGAGATTAAACACACTTGCAGGGCTCGCTGGGGCTCAGTGAATATGGGCTTAGATGCCTTACGTTCAGCATCAGTTTCTGTGGCACTCAGCAGCGAGGCTCCAAGCTAGAACAGCAGGGCTGAAGCATAACACCAAGCGGATTACACAAATAACCCCCTCCCCATGAACTGGCAGTGAAGGAGGAGTGTTGTCCATCTCTTATATATCCCTCCCCCCCCCATCTGCCATCCACTATGCATCAGCAACACCACATAGCATCTGGGGAAACAAAACAATGTCTATCACAGTAAATAATACACTGCCAGGAGTCAGGAAGTGGATGGCACGAAGCCTTTAATTACAAAGAGCATCATAAAGGCAGGGAGTAGCCATCTGCAGACTAGGATCTGTGCAGAGATGGATAATCTCCTTTTGCACATTCCTCTGTATGTGACGAACTTAGAAAAAGAGAGTCTGTCACCATCTCTGCTGCTGTCATATTGCATACTTGGGAACGTTGCAAGTTTTCTTTGAGATCTGTCCAAGCTGGAAGCAGCTCCTGTATCTTACGACACTGATAGCTTTCTCCCTTGCCCTGAAACAGTGGCATGCCTGAGAGGGCTAAGCACACAGCCCTCAGCTCTACTGCTCCCATGTAACAAGCCAAGCTATTATGCCTGGCAATCCTGCAGGCTCAGCCAAGATAGGAGGGGGAATTCAGTCCTAGATACATATTAGGCCAGAGGCAAACACAAGCTCCAAGGGAACTGACTAAGCTGTGGGTCAAGGATTAACCAAAGCACATGTCCTCCTGACAAGCTGTGACTAACGTCTGCAGAAAGCAAGCCCCCCCCCCACAATTGTAGGGCCACACAACCAGTCCCTAACCCCAACACACACGCAAAAGCACAAAAGCCATGCTTATTGGCCAAAGTTTAAGAAGTCCATTGAATCCCCTCCTCACTTCATCCTGGGGGTGTTTTCTTCCTGAACAGTGCACCCTCCCACACCCTTGCATCCCAGGAGTAAACGGAGAAAATGAGGAGCAGGCAGCTGGAGGATCAACCCCCCTGTTAATGAATGGGGGCTCCTCTTCTAAAGCCAAACATGAACGAATCAACTTTAGGATCTGTCTCTATCTGTTAACTTCAAGCACAAAGCATACAGGGCCCCAGGCGTGCTAGCACCTGCCTGCCCCTCCCTCTGCACCCTTTCCACCCCTCCCACATGCAAACTACTCCTACCCCTCAAGCACACTCACTAATCCTCCTGCCTCCCCCCTCTGATTACTTCTCACACAGACTAGACCCCCCTTTAGCTTCTTTCCCTTTGCAGGGGGTCTTCCTCCAGCCACCAAACTCCTCTTTACCTCCTCCCTGCCAGCTGATACACAAAACTCCTCTCCCCGCAAGGAACACACACACACTCCTGGCAGATGTCTTTCCATCCCACCAACAGCCCCCAGAGGCTTTCCTGCTTCCAAAAAATTAAGGGGGGGTAGGGAGAAAGATGTAATTTTCCAAGGGAAAGCAACCTCACCCCAAGAGCTAAACAGAATCTTTTCCAACCATCCTTTCCCAAGATCCATTTGTATCTCAAAGCAAACGAACAGTCGTAGTAACAGATATATTACTACTATTTTATGCTATAGATGGGTGGGAAAGAACACAGGAGATTAACACATATCCTCCCTTGCACGCCCAACGCTCCCCATCACTTCAGGGGTCTCTCTCATGGGGCACGTCTGGGTCCCACTCCAGAGTCACTTCCCAGGGGAAACCCTTCTTCTCTTCCCTCCCCCCTGCACGTTCCTCATCTCCCTTAATTGGGGAGAAAGGGATCCCCAATAAGACCTCACCTGCCCAATATATTACTTACTTCTCCACACAAACACACACGGGTCCTGGCTCCCCTCCTGGGCACTTTCTCTGAACAATCCCCCCCCCAAAAAAACCTTGTGGGGGTGCCAGCAGCCCTCGCCCAACAGACCCCCCCCAGTTTTCTCCAAGACAAACAAGACCCCCCCCCAAGTATCTCTCCACTTTATCAACACCCCCACACCCAGGCCAACACCAAGGGCTTCCCTCCCCCCCCCAAGGGGAGGCACCAAGGGACACCCCACTTCCAGCACCACGTCCCCCCCCGTTTCTCAACACACCCTTCAAAAAAGAGGAGAGAGAGAGACCCCAATCTCTGAACAAAACCCCACCGACACAACAGAACAACACAACACACTTTCACCCATTGTGAATTCACAAGAGGGGAATCTCTCAACAAGGCCGATCAATCACAACAGGCACCCCCATAGTAAATGAGTCACCCACCCCTCAAAAAGGACAGCCGCCCCCCTCTGGAATTTACCCCCCCTTTCTATCATACGCACACACACACATACACAATGGGGGTCTCCCCACAAACAAGCCTCTCTCTTAAAAAAAAAACCCACACACGACCACCAGGCAGGATTCCTCAGGAAACACGCGCACACACGTGAACGCGCGTCCACACGAGACACACACACACAATAGAGGAGGGGGCCACAAACAAACAAGGGTCCGCACACACATATACACACACACCATCGCAACGGCACCACCGGCGGGATTCCTCGCGAAACCCGCGCACACACGTGAACGCGCGTCCACACGAGACACACACAGACACAGAGGTGCGCGCGCGCGTCGACTCACCCGAGCACCACGAGCTCCCCATATTTGACGGGCTCCTTGTTGGGCGCGCAGTGCTCCTCCTGGCTGGGAGAAAACATGGGGCCGCCGCCGCCGCCTCAGCCGCCGCTATAATCCCATGCGGGGCAACAACAACCACAACAACAACAACAACAAAACCTGACGGGGGGCGGGTCAGATGAAGAATAATATTTTATTCTTATTTATCTATATAAAAAAAGAAGTCCGTCCGGCGTCTCTTTCTTCCCCTCCGCTTCTCGGCCCTCTTTCTTTCTTTCTTTCTTTCTCTCTTTCTTCCCTCAGTCAGTCGCTCGGTCGGTCGAAATCGTCCCCCGTTTCCCCCCACTCTTCGCGCGCCCGCCCGCCGCGGACTCCTCGCTCTTCCCTCCTCGGCGAGCGCCCAGCGACAACAGCCCCCAACTGCCAGAGGGGGAGGTCGGGAGAGACCAAGTCAGTAAGCGCCGCCTCCCAAGAGGGGGAGGGGGAGGAGGCGTGGAATGGCCCCACCCCTCGGCTCTCCTTCGACACCCCCCTCCGTTCCCGTCCCAAAAGCCGCGATGGTATCGTCCGCTCTGTTATGTAAACAGAGGAGTAAAGGGGAAGGGAGGGGGAGGCGCTTAAAGGGCCCGCCGCCTCTGAAAGTCAATGCCGCCTTTCATAAACCAGAGGGATAGGATTGGGAGTGGGCGATGAGGAGGAGCGCCCCCTAGGGGCGACGTTGGAAACTGCATGAAATTATTATTATTATTATTATTATTATTATTATTATTATTATCTCTACTCCACCTGGCTCAAGGCGCCTTGTAGACAAGAATAGGAACAGCTAAAAACACAGGTGTGGAAATAGCCATCAAATTGGAAATTTATAGAATTAAAACTAGATATAGATATATATCTATATATATGCGGGTGGCGCTGTGGGTTAAACCACAGAGCCTAGGACTTGCTGATCAGAAGGTCGGAGGTTCGAATCGCCGCGACGGGGTGAGCTCCCGTTGCTCGGTCCCTGCTCCTGCCAACCTAGCAGTTTGAAAGCACGTCAAAGTGCAAGTAGATAAATAGGTGCCGCTCCGGCGGGAAGGTAAACGGCATTTCCGTGTGCTGCTCTGGTTCGCCAGAAGTGGCTTAGTCATGATGGCCACGTGACCCAGAAGCTATACGCCAGCTCCCTCAGCCAATAAAGCGAGATGAGCGCCACAACCCCAGAGTCGGTCACGACTGGACCTAATGGTCAGAGGTCCCTTTACCTTTTTATAGATATATATGTCACCTGATTATGTGTATATATTATTATCATCATCATCATCATCATCATTGTTATCTTATTTTTATTATTCATAAAACTCATATGAAACACTTCATCCATAGACGTCAGAGCAGTTCATGGCAGAAAAATACAAGATAAAAACTCAAAATACACAACAAAAAAGAAAGCAAAGCAATAAATGGTATAGAATCATAGAATAAAATACTGTAGAGTTGGAAAGGATGCTGAGGGTCACGTATTCCAACCCCCCGCAATGCAGGAATTTCAACAGGATCATGTACACACACATAAAAAATCTATGCAAATCCATACAAATTATTACAATTAAAAACAGCACAGCACCAGGCCTTTCATTAAAACTGTAGAGCTAATGCCAGCAAGGAAGGCAGAGCTCTAGGGCTACTGAGTACACACTGCTGCATAAGAGGAAATATTGACTTGTGTCAGAATAGCTTTCCTTCAAAGATTTAGGCTGTGTAATATATATAACAATAATAATTTATTATTTATACCTCGCCCGTCTGGTTGGGTTTCCCCAGCCACTCTGGGCGGCTTCCAACCGAATATTAAAAACAATACAGTGTCAGACATTAAAAAACTCCCCTAAACAGGGCCACCTTCAGTTGTCTTTTAAAAGTAAAATAGCTGTTTACACATTCTCCCATTGACTCTGGTTTGTGCTGGTTTGGAAAGCAGTGTTCCACATTTAATTTTATTTGTTTTATTTATTAAATTTATATACCAACCTTTATCCAAGGAGCACATGGCCAATTTTCAACTCTGTGATTCTGTGTTTTTCCCCAAACCAGCTTTGATCCAAACTGAGAAAAGGAACAACCTAGCTGTGTTTTTTAAGTTGGTAATGTGTACACAGAAGAAAAGTTTTGTGCACCTGTTTAGAATAGCAGTAGTGTTTGGCTATCAGCGTAAACCCCACCACCAGAGACTGCTTTCTGACCTACAGCGGATACAGGATTTAAGCAAACTTTCTTCCACCGCCACCACTCTTCTGCTCAGGATGTCAGCCACCAAGCCTGTTTTTCAATAGAGTATACAGAAAAATCAAGGGAAAGAAATATCCAGCTGCGTGTAACCTGGAGTCTGCCCTAAGAAGGGCATCAAAGGCAGAGAAGAAGTGCCGGTTTAAATCCAGTGTGGCTTGTTTGGGGGATCAAGAAGTTCGGTGTGCAGCTGAGGTAAGTGACTTTTCTTCTCTGGGCTTTAATTTATCAGCAATTGGAAACGACAGTTTTAAATTCTCTGGTCTCAACCGCTTCCATTCTGTTTCATCTTCTGAGACGAAAATAAGTTGTCTTAACTGCTGGATCCTTTGTTCTTCAGGGAGTTTTATTTTTTTTAGAAAAACACACACACTTTTTAAATGAAGAATTTAAAGTGAAAATGTTTAAAGTCCATGTTCCCTCTTTGGAGTCATTTATATGCTGTTTTATCTTTCCAGCCTTAACAAGTATCCTGAGCTTTACAGCTCTTTCTCTTTAGGGAGCTGAGCAGGGTTATAATATCATTCTTTTCTCTCTTTTTTTATGTAAAGGAACATTTTTCTCCATCCTTCTCTCTCATTTTTTGGTTTAGACTTGTGGATAAAAGCAGTTGATCAAATTATTAATGTCTGTTGGGCTACGTGACAGACAAGTAGATACCCCAAGCCAAGTTTATTTTCCTGCCTTGAGCGTCTGGGATGGGAACATTTGGCTTGTATGACTTATTTATGGCATACCTGATCCCTGGTTAGCTTTCAAATCAGGGTGGTTACATTCAGCCCTTGCTCCCTGCTACCACTTAGGAATCATAGAATTGTAAAGTTGGATGGAACCCAAGAGTCATCGAGTCCAACCACCTGCAATGCAGGAATTGCAACTAAAGCATCCATGACAGATGTCCATCCAACCTCTGCTTCAGAACCTCCAAGGAAGGAGAGTCCACTGTTAGAATATTCCATTCCACCTTAAGAATAGATGTGTGGATTGTTGTATGTCACATGTCTGTTTACACTCCAGCACTGATTGCTGGGAACGTCCGTTTTGTGTATAGCTATTGCTTGTGCTTGTTGTCTTTGTCCATGGAGTTTTCTTGGCAGGGGTACTGGAGTGGCTTGCCGGTTCCTGCTCCAGGTGGATCACGTTTGGTCAAAACTCTCCACTATGACCTGTCCATCTTGGGTGACCCTGCACAGCATAGCTCATAGCTTCTCTGAGTTATTCAAGCCCCTTCGCCACGGCAAGGCAGTGATCCATGAAGGAGAAGGGGAAGAAATGGAGGCAGTGAGAGATTTTACCTTCTTGGGCTCCCTGATCACTGCAGGTGGTGACAGCAGTCACGAAATTAAAAGACACCTGCTTCTTGGGAGAAAAGCAATGACAAACCAAGACAACATCTTAAAAAGCAGAGACATCACCTTACCGACAAAGGTCTGTATAGTTAAAGCGATGGTTTTCCCAGTAGTGATGTATGGAAGTGAGAGCTGCACCATAAAAAAGGCTGATCGCCGAAGAATTGATGCTTTTGAATTATGGTGCTGGAGGAGACTCTTGAGAATCCCGTGGAGTGCAAGCAGATCAAACCTATCCATTGTGAAGGAAATCAACCCTGAGTGCTCACTGGAAGGGCAGATCCTGAAGCTGAGGCTCCAAGACTTTGGCCACCTCATGAGAAGAGAAGACTCCCTGGAAAAGACCCTGATGTTGGGAAAGATGGAGGGCACAAGGAGAAGGGGACGACAGAGGACGAGATGGTTGGACAGTGTTCTCGAAGCTACCAGCATGAGTTTGACCCAACTGCGGGAGGCAGTGGAAGACAGGAGTGCCTGGCGTGCTCTGGTCCATGGGGTCACGAAGAGTCGGACACGACTAAATGACTAAACAACAACATTGCTCATGCTGCTTGCTTGGACATGAAAAGGGAGAAGACATGTTTTTCCTTTTGTCCTGATGTATGCTGAATAAACTGCTTGTAAATATGCTGACACAACCTCTCCTGCCACTAAAATTAATGGACACGAGTAACTCGGATTCAATAATTTTGGTGGGTCTACACCAAGTAGGACTTAAGTTGGCTGCAATCCAAAACACATGATCAAAGCATCTGAATCAACCCTGAGTTCATGGTTACTATTTTGAATATTAGTGAATCTGTCCATTTCGGGTTCTCTCCATTTCTAATTTTTCCACTTGAGTTTGGTCCACATTTCCACATCAGTTTGCTGCAACAACAAGATGTCCTTGTGAAAATTCCCCATCGTTTCAATGCAAATTCCTCCTAATACAGCACACATTTGTATGCAATTTCCCCTAACGTACACATTTTTGCAGCACACCTTTCCCCTAATATAACACATTTTGCTATATTGTTTTCACTAATAGATGCACACTTAACCCTGATGCATAAGCATTTATGTACACATTACTTGGCTGGAGGTTTGCATAGGGTGGGAGGGGAGGGGCTTTAGCTCCTTCTGGGATAGTTTGTCCACCTTTCATAGAATCGCAGAATTTTAGTCCCCACCCTGCTCTCAGCTCTCACCTGTGGCTCCTAGAAGCTGTCAGCCTACAACAGCAGCCACACTCTGGGAAATGGCCTCAACTGGCCAGCAAAACCAGGTGAGGGTAGCCGATGGGTCTCAAACCCTCTGTGAGTTATGGACTTTCAGGCTGGTGCAAAGACTTCAGGAACCCAAAGGACTAGCCCGCTTGACTGAGGGGTTTTGGCTTTCCTTGACTGAAATAATCTCCAGCTATTCATTTCCCTGGTGCAGACATGCCCCTGTCATTTCCAGAGATAAGGAAATGTGGGGGAAAGCAGCTAATCTTAAAAACACTGAGGGTTTTTCTGGCGTCTTCCAGGGAGAAGGGAGAAAGATGAGATTTTATTAAAAACCAGGAGCTGAATTATTACAGATTTATCTTCTTTATTAGGCCATGATAGTGCTGAAGAAAGCTGTGTCTGTAACTCGCTGTCAGAGAAAGCAAACACGTTTTGGCAAGCAACGTGAGAAATCAAACCAGCCAGCCTTCATTGAGCATCCCCACGTTTTACTCCAAACGCAAACACCTCAGAGTTTGCATCCCACTTCTGCCTCCTCAAAATCAGTCTCACTTTCCATGTCCCACAGGCTGTCCCTAGAGCAAGGAGTGGGGAACCTCAGCCCCCAGGGGCTCCTACAC